TCCGGAGAAGCCCTCATTATCCCGGAGTGACTTGCTCGCCGTCCGAAATGCTTTGGCTGTGATGTTCTCTGTTCTCGCTGAACATGTCTGACAGATATGCCTTCAGATCTCGGCGAGAGCACTCCGACGTCTCGGGCAAGATGGTGACATCGGAGACGGATGACTTTGTCATAGTGGCGAGGCCGCGAGATTGGTTGGCGAAGAGTGCAAACGTGGGAATCTGAGTTGAGATTTGCTCTTTGCTCGGTTTGAAACTAAACGCTAACAGAGAAGAGGTTCAACTTCCGGTCCAGTGCCATGGTGGTGCGGGCCCTCGGGGACCTCGGCATCTTGTGGCCTGGCTCCGAGGGATCAACGGGAAGAAAATGCCCGCCAACAACTGGCGCTGGTTCCGCATATTCACGAACCTCGCCTTGACCAGAGTCCTCGGCGAATCCCGGAGAATGAAGTCTCGCAACAGGTCGTGGACGACTTTGCCATGCTCGACTCGTTCTACCTCGGCGAAGGCTGGAGCAGCAACGGCCTGTGGGGAGACGAGATGTCCCAAGCCGAATACTACCCTGGGAGTTTCGCCATGCAGTTTGCGCAGATTCTGTATGTCTACTTTGCTGGCTACGGGGATGCCGTGAGGGCGGAGAGGTATAGACAGCAGGCCAGAGAGTTTGCTGTCCAGTTCTGGAGGCTCTTTCATCAGGATGGTAAGTTGTTTCCCCGTTTCGCATTCTAAATCTGGACTCGACGAAAGTGCAAAGGTATGCGCTTACACGACACGCTACACGACACACAGGAGCCGCCATCCCCTTCGGCCGCAGTCTGACCTACCGCTTGGCATTTTCCGCATTCTGGTCCGTCGCCGCTTTGGCCAAAGTCGACCTGCCTCTCACCATAGGACAAGTGAAAGGGGGTCTTGCTCCACCGCTTGCGCTGGTGGGCGGCCGACGAGCGAGCCACAATGTTCCGCCCCGACGGGACTCTAAGCATCGGCTTCGTCTACCCGAACCAGAGATTAAGATGCTGACGATGATCAACTGTCGCTACCCCAGCAACCCACACATAGCAAGAATGACGGCATCCGAGTCCTTCTCAGCGTTCACATCGCCAAGGTACCCGAGCTTCCCATCTCCAACGCGCGCGAACGCGACCGCCGTCTCTTGCGGCGTATTCACACTCGTCGGGGGGAAAACCATAGACTCGACCACGGACTCCTCATTCGAAACATACCACGACTGCTCGGGCGTCACGTTCCTCACAAACAGCGCTTTCTGGCTATACCGAGGCGCGAGCCGCGCAGCCACGTCCCGGCCCACCGCCTCCCGGTTGAGCATGAGCGTGGTGGGTGGTACGAGCCGGACTCCCACGGCAAGCCCGCGACGGCGAAAAACGGCTTCATGTCTGGCGGTAAGACCTGGCCGCTGAAATGGCCCGTGACCACGGCGGGGCCCCCCTCCCGCACGTACCGGACGACGGCGTCCCAGACGTGGGCGTTCTCCGGGAGGGTGAGGCCCTCGTCGGTCACGAGGATGGCGGATGGCGGCGGCTGTTCGGACAGGAGACGCATGGCCGAGGTTGCTTTCTTCACGCGTTGGACGTGGGCTTTGGATCCCAGCTCCCGCAGGAGGGCGTCGTACATTTCGTCGAAGAAACCCAGAAGGCTGAGAGAGAGGAGAATAATTCGGGGCTTTGCGGCTTCGGTTGCCATGGTTGCTACCTGATTCGTCAACGTTGGTTTTCTTATGGTCTCGACGTGACCGTGGGGCAAGCCTAACTTGAGACTCGCCGAGTCACTGACTGATGAACAAACTTGTCTGGGTGATAGGGGCAAGCTTCATGAGCTTGGGGAAAGACGCGACAGTTGCGAGATATCTCTGAGTGAAGTCCGGGAGCCTCTGACACTGAAAGTGGCGGTGAAGGTGAAGGTGAGGGGAAGGGGAAGGGGAAGGGTAAGGGGAAGCACCAAGAAGGGTAAGGGCCAGAGTGGAGAAAAGAACAATCGTTGTAACCTTTCGAAGGGACGTGATAGCGGCTAACGGCAAAAAGAACGTTGGCCTCTCGTGTCAAACCACCACCAAAAATGGAGCAGACCGGGATTGAACCGGCGACCTTTAGATCTTCAGTCTAACGCGCTCCCAACTGCGCCACTGCTCCAAGATGCCAAGAACCTGATGCTAATGATTTCTATACGATCATGCCCCAATGCCGGGAGAGCGATTCAGTGCAGTTGCTAGTATCCTTAGTCATGCAAAGCGAGGGGAGTTCCAGGGGATGATCGGGGCAAAAATGGCCGGAGGTCGAGGTAAGGCTAGCCGAGTAGCGACCAAACGGATAGACTTGGCACACTTGGTGGTCGCCAACAAAGTCCGCAAGTGCAAAGTACAACCGTCGAGTACGTGACATGTCCGACAACGACAACAGTAAAGTCCCTTAGAAACGCACCAGGAGCACGCCGTCGATAATCGTGGCGAGCGACGTGATTTCCGACTGGACCTGGACGTGAAGATGGTTGCCGAGTTGTGTGGAGCTCCAAAAGACGCCAAAGACAAACGTCGAGCACCACCATTTTACCCCAAAGTTTTCGGATTTTAACTCAACACCGGAACCAGTAAGAAAGCCATGCGTTTGTCGACGCGTTTGTCGACGCACGTCCAATTGACATGACACTACGCTATGGCGTTGTCCGAGCTTTTGACTTTGTACGAATGCACACGTGCACTTCTAGGTAAAACGTCCATCCAATCGACGAAGCAAGCAAGCTTATTAGCTGCTACGAAAGATCCGTGCTGGCGCTGTCGATCAATATACGGCGGGGAGGCTCGAGGTTGATGTCCGTGCGTACGGTACCTTGCATGATCTTACGAAGTACGTTCCTTACGTACCTTACCTTACTGACTTTTGTACTTTATACGTACCGAATCTGCTCCCACAGGCTGGAGCTTTTAGTATAGGTACCTAAGGTAGGTGCCTCCTGGGCCGTTGTGACAGCCAACGGCCGCAACGGTCGTCGCCGCATACCTTACCTTAGGTAGTCGGTGTTAGTCCCATATAACGTACGTCCGGTAGAAGCTACGTCGTCACAACTCGACGGCGAGGAGCGGAATCTCGATTCTGAGTCTCTGGCTGTCGGTATGTGGTATGTACGGATACCTTGATAGATCCTGCTACAACCCGGTACTTCGTACGAAGTATCACGACTTTGATTCTGATACCTAGGTACTTCTTAGCCATCCGTTACTTACCTTAGTAGGACGTCATGCTCTTTTCATTAACAGGGGCCGCCTGTTTCGTTTCGGCGTTCACAGAGAATTGGGGGAACACGTAGGGGACCGACCCACTTAGGGTAAGGTGTGTAAGGAGTCCACAAAGTTCCCCTAAAAAGCCAAAGATCTTGTCGAGCCGTCAAACACCAGTCCTTCCTCACCCCCGACTACATGGTCAAGGTGGACCAGGAGGAGCAGGAGAGAAGTACGGAGTACACGTGTAATACTCTGTACGCATACCCATGTAGGGCATAAGGGCTCAACATCTAAGTTAATATTCTGAGGAGAGGGATGATTGTGCGCTGCTTCGTCGGTGAGGCGGAGGTAAGGTACCTACATGACATGGCAAATGTACTCCGTGCTTGTCGCGAACTAAAATAAGGGCTTCATCAAGAACACAGGCAATTGCTCCCAACAGTCGCTCCTGCCTTGGTAGTAGTGTATTGCCTGATATTTCCGACCCTCTTTTATTACCCCACCCACATCTCTCGTTTTTCATCTTCTCCCAAACCCATGTCATGTCTATTGTCTACAACGTACCGTAGTCATCTCCGATTCTTCGACTTTTGTTTAAAAAATTCTCACATCATCTCGGATCCATTTCCATCTGTCTATGTACCCATACGAAATAAAAAATACGAAATACGAAATACGAACATCCGAGTCTCGTCGACTCCAAGCCATCGATACGCAGCCCGACGACCCGAATCCCATGGCGCGCCCTGCACTTACAACTGCCGCGACAGGATGATTGATTTCCCACCCCAGGCCAGGAGATTCAAACATCTCGCCCTTTGTCCTATCCCCGATCTACCCCCTCTGCTGTCGCCAAGACGACCGCACCAGGACCTAGTGTAGTGCAACTTCTCCGCCCCCTCCCCCAGGTTTCTCCACATATCTCGAGTGGTGGTGCATTCAGTCTTCAGGCCTCTTGTTGAGCCCTGGCAATTCGTTCTATTGGTCCATGTCGGAACCTCGGAAACCAGGGCAAATTCCCAGCAGTCTGGAGGAGGGTCTTGTCTTTGCCCCTTGGCTGACACCCATTGAATGGCTGGCTGACTCTGAAACTTTGTAAGCTCTCTTCTCCCCAGCAGGAACAGGAATCTTTGTTCTCGGTTGGTAGGTAATAACGGACTTGGCCGACTAGGAAGACTGAAGACCACCAAGCAAGTACTTGTACGGGCTGGAGCCTCCCTTGAAAGAAAGAAGAAGAAAAGAAGAAGAAAAAAACCCAGAACCACCGAAAAAAAAACTACAGGTTCACACCTCCACACATCGGTCGCCTCCCTTTCAACCTGCCCCAGAACGTCTTGATTGTCGGGATGCGCCTGGGGAACTCTTTTCGAATCCATGTCACCTGGATGCGTTCAACACCCACCCTGCAACCGCGTGGGTGACGCGCCGAGATGACGGTATATTTCGAGTCGAGCTGGGCCATCCTCAGCACCATATGCTTGGCGAACAGCCTCTTCGGCCTCATGGTGGTGAACATCACCACGCTGTCGCGGGCCTCCATGGTCCCCATCGTCGTCTCGGTGGCCGGCGCAGTGGCCAACGGGTTGTGCTATTACGCATATTACGGCGACTATCCGCTGGTCAACACGGCTGCGGCTTCTGTTGTTGCAGACGTCATGTGGTTGGTGCGTCTTTCCTTTTTTTTTTTTTTTTTTCTGTTCTCAAGACCTGCACAAAACATACGTGATCCATCCGTCCATGCGAAAATTCGTCTCCTAACCTACGGGCTACCACACAAATGTAGATCCAAGAAGCGGGCGTGTCGTTCTACAGCTACATCATCCTCGTCCGCATCCTCTTCGATTGGAACCTGAGAATCTTCAAGACGCTGTTCTGGTCCATCATGTGCATCATCACCGCCACGAGAGTAGCGATTGCGACCTTCCGGGCCGAGGCCATCCTCAACAACGACCCGCGCGCCCAGTACATCATTAACCGCCTCCACGTCGGCTATTTTACGGGCATCGCGCTGGTGGAATGCGTCAGCGCCTTCTACCTGCTCCGGAAATTCGCAAGCGTCAGGCGAACGTCAGTGCGCGCCTCGCTGCCGACGGCCTTCTTCCGACATCTCATGCGGAGCACCGAAGTCCGCCTCGCCGCTCTCGCCCTCATCGGCACCTCGCGAGCCCTGACGTATTACTCTCACCCTTCGTTCCAGAGGGCCTCTTCCGTTGCTAGCCAGATCGATCGCTTCGTGTACACGCTAGAGTGCATGTTTCCCATTATGCTCTTGTACGTCATTCTCGCCACCATTGTCGATTGTCCCCCCTTTCACTCGACCGTCTCTTTGGGTTCGTGATGTGCTGACGAGGAAACAAAAACAACGTGCTATAGCATCGACATGCTCGCTTCGAAACTGGTCTACCACAACGAGAGGGAGCAATACTCGCTCCCGCGCATCGACACGGGCAGCAGGGCGCTGCACGATGACTGGAGTAACTCGTGGTCGCGGGGTTCGAGGCAAGATAGACAGCAATTGCACTCGGTGTCGTCGGGGGCGCGGGACGAGGAGCAGATCGAATCCCAAGTGTCGTCGCGCTGGGAAGAAGCGATCGAGAGACCGCCGAATGCAAAGCTTACACATACACATCCACCATAGCCAACGAGTGGAGTGGAGTGGAGTGGAGTGGACTTGGGGTTTGAAAATGCGAAAGGAAAAAAAGAAAAAAAAGAGTCTTCCCGTTCATCGTTCACACACGTCTTGACAGCCAACTTGTCTGGGTACAGGACAAAATATCAATCAGGTGATCTGCCGTACTTTTTCTTTTCCTCTATCACATTTCACAAAACGCGATCCTTGAATCCTGGACCCCACCCCCGCCGCTACCCTTGACCTATCATTCGCTCACCTTCGGAGAAGAACTCCGGCCTGCGTCAGACACGACAGTTAATTGGTCGACGTTGAATGACGTTCGCTTCCCGTACACTTGTCCCTCGACAATCCGCCATCGACACCATAATTCATGCGACGGCAACGAAGGCAACGGAAGCGACGACGTAATCATTCACATTCAACCTCACCTTGACCCTACCTGGACCTAGCTGGACCCCTACCTGATACGTAAATCATGGGCGACACGACGAAAAAGTCAAAAACTCCTCCCTCATCAGCCGGCACACCCTCGGGTGGTCCAAACCGGAGAGTTGACGTGTTTCTCGCCTTGGTCCGCAAGGACATGCTGAACACTAGAATCCACACATATTGGCCTGTGTAAGTATTCTTTTCCTTCCCCCGCTTACTTGGCTTCTCATGACGAGGCATTCCTGAGACTAATATCGTCAATAGCTACGTCGCGTATGGACAGAAAGCCTACCACATGATCGACATACTTACCGCTCACGAGTGAGCCCTTGACGGGCAGACTACTGAGTGGTCACGTTTACCATAATCCTCGGAAAGACGTCTTATGCTGTGGGTCAGAGTTTCATAAGGACACATTGGCGTTGCGTTACATGATATGGCATTCCTGGGCTACTTATTTCTTTGTAGGGGTCCTCGCGTCTCACATTGTCCCTGAATCATCATTTCCCCCTCAACTTCTTAAATGAATCCCAAGGAGAGCTACCGCTATATATTTCAACTCTAAAGGGCTGTGTCATTCGGGCGACGACGATGGAGAAAGTCGTGGTAATAGATGCGAGGACCAGAGAAGGTCGAGGGCCGTCTATGGCCTCATCCATCGCAAGACCAATACGAACAACAACACACATATCAAGACAAAAGGGAGTGCCGCACGTCGAGAATGGTTGAGGTTTTGTTTTTATTTTCTTTCTCATTCCTAACGTGACAAAGTCCTGTCATTCATTTCATTGTTTTATCATACCAATACCCTCCACGGGATCCTTCATTTTCCCATCACATACATCCCCATCCACAACAACACCCTCGACCCCCAATCCTTTAGATCCGACCCCTCCGAAGGAACTTGTTGGGAATATCCACGTACTTGGCACGCAGATACTCGCACAGGTTCTTACCCAGGGTATCATACTCGCTGGTCGAGTTGAACCCACGGTCCAAGTGATCCCTCAGGAGGAAATGCACGGCCCGAACACCCGGGATCTCAAACCTCTCGATCCTCTTGCCCTTGTTGCTCCCCTCCAGCATCTGGCTAACCTTGTCGATGGTGAGGACGCTGCGCAGCCACTCCCACTCGTCGTCGTGGCGGACCCAGAACCCGACGTTGGCGTCGCTGGCCTTGTCGCCCGAGCGGCCGCCGACGACCCAGCCGAGGGGACCCCGGGTGGTGGGGCCAAAGGAAGAAAGGTCGGCGGGCTCGACGGGGTCGTAGCTCTTCTGGTCGCGCGGGTAGGCGGTGGTCACGTTCTTCTGCACGGGGATGTCGATGGTCTTGCCCGCCCAGGGGAGCTCGACGCGGTGCTTCACCTCCGACTGCGGGAGCAGGGTCACGTAGTACTCGTAGAAGGGCTTGCCTTCGGACTGGCGCTGGTCGTTGCCCAGGGTGGCGCCGGGGCAGGACTGGAGGAAGTTCTCCATGCACCAGCGGTTGAATCCTGGAGAAAGGGGGGTGTTAGCGGGGGAGAAGGAGGTGAGGGGAGAAGGAGGTCGGAGGACAATAGGAACATACCGGGCACATCGAGAGTGGACTTGTCGACAAGCTCACGGCGCCTGGTCTGGACGAAAACGCGCATGTCGACGGTGGCGACGTCCTGGTTACGCGGGTTGGGAGGGCAGTAGCCGTTCAGGCTGAACTTGAGGCAGCTGAGATCCTTGACGGCATCGCCGATGGAGTGACGGACCTGGCGCTCGGTCCACTCGGCCTTCTCCTCGAGGTCGAGGCCGCAGATGTAGTAGTGGAACTCGGCCTGGTAGCCGCCGAAAGCGGTGAGGCCGACCTTGGTGGTGGCGGGGGCGGGGAGGCCCTTGACGCCGGTGACCTGGACGCGGTCGGGGCCGAGCTGGGTCATGACGATGCCCTCGAGGTTGGCGGTGACGTCGGAGCCGTAGTAGAGCGGGCCCTGGATCTCGTAGAGCAGCTGCGAGGAGACGGTGCCGACGGAGACCTCGCCGCCGGTGCCGGGCTCCTTGGTGATGACGCAGGACCCGTCGGCCTCGACCTCGGCGATGGGGAAGCCGATGTTCTCGCACTTGTCCATCAGGCGCTTGAAGCCCGAGAAGTAGCCGCCGCACACGTACGAGGAGCACTCGATCAGGTGGCCGCACACGAGCGAGCCGGCGAGCTGGTCCAGGTCGGTCTCGCGGTCCCAGCCGTGCCACCACATGGAGGCGCCGATGGTGGGGGCGGCGTCGGCGACGCGGCCGGCGACGACAATGTCGCAGCCCTGACGGAGGGCTTCGGCGATGCCAGCACCACCGAGGTAGCACCTGGGGGGGAGGGTAACCGGTTAGCATGAAAGGGTCTTGATCACATGCAAAGGAAGGGATGGTAAATTCGGTGGTAGGGTACTTACTGGGCAGCCTCAAAGTACTCCATGTGACCCCACTCCTTCAGGGGCTTGCCGGTCATCAAGCTGGTAAACTCCTCGCCATTCTCATACATCCTGCGCACGGTCTCGGTCACCTCATCACCGTTGATCCAGCCGACCTTGAGGTCGAGGCCCTGGGCCTTGATCTCGGCCTCGACGAGGCCGGCGAGCATCTCGGTGTCGCTGGCGCCGGCGTTGACGGCGACCTTGATGTTCTTGGACTTGAGGTAGGGGAGGGCGGGGCTCAGGTTCTCCATGAAGGTGGGGTCGAAGAGGCCCTGGGGCTGCTCGGTGAGCTGGCCCTCGTTGAGGAGGCGCTCGTTCTGCTTCTTCTGGGCGCCGTGGAGGGTCATGGTGCACTCGGAGAGCCAGTCGCCGATGATGCAGTCGATGTCGCAGTTCTTGGCCAGGTCGCCGATGGCGCGCTGGCGGTCGGAGAAACCGCCGGACGAGCCGGCGATGCGGATGGCCCGCTTGGCAGAAGGCATGATGGCTGTGATGCGTTACGACTGCTTTGTTGTGTTGGAGGTTTGGGGGGAGGTGTTCCTAGGGAACAAGGGCGGGCACGGGGGAGTAGTTGGAGGAGGGTGGAGGGTGGAGGGTGGAGGATGGAGGATGGAGGATGGAGGATGGAGGAGGGAAGATGGAGAAGCAGTCGATGGTCTGTGAAATGAAGCAGCGAGACCTTGATATAATGCTACAGGACTTCGGGGTCCCGTATATATGCGCATCGGAAAACGCATCGTTCTTACAAGTTGATCACTTTCCGGCAGACCACATCCCCTCGCCCACTGCTTTCCATCTCGGTGGGTTGTCATGTCATGGCGAGATCCGACACCACAGAAACCGGAGTCTGTTAACCTCTGGTCGATAGACTGGAGGTTCCTACATTCGACTGGACGGACAGGACGGACAGGACGGGCTGGACGGACTGGACCAGAACAAAGCCTTAACCCCGGAGAGAGACGAGATGATAACCCCGTCTTCCCCGTATCCCCTGATTCCCCTCTATCGGAAAGGAAGGATGCAAACGCTAGGGGCGAGCTACAGGTGAAAAAGAGGTCTCAGGAACAAGATCGGGGGGCGGGGTGGGGAGAAAGGGGGTTCCTGTGACTGCTTTTTACCCCACCGGGTGTGGGCGGCGGCGGGAGGCGAAGGACGGAAAATCATATCCAAACTACGGAGTCTTGAAGACTTAACCTATGCCGTCCTCCATCCTTTTTGTCCCCAGCAAAAAGAAACCTAGTTTGAGGTAGTTTGTGAAGACGACTCATGATCGGGTGTTTGGGGCTTAGGGGGTTTCCAGCCTGTTGCATCAAGGAAGGAAGTTCAAGGTTGACCCGGAGTCCGGGAGTCAGGACGGGGGCTCGGGGAGTGGACTGACTGATAAGTGATAACTCCCGTCGGTAACGGTGTACACCGGTGAAGTACACGGTACACGGTACACGTGTAGAGGGGGAAGTCCGTGGGGCCCGGGGAGGAGGGGAGGGGAGGGGAGGTGACGGGTCGGAGGCGGGGTACTTTTGGAGAATTTGGGGATTCGAGGGGGGGTAATTTGGGGGTTTCCTCCGAGTCCTCCCCTGAGTCCCCTCCAATACATGCATGGTACTAATTTCTAATCTTTTGGTTTCCTCGGTCAGGTTTGAATTTTGCAAATCTGCCTTATTAGTGAGTCTTGTGAGTTAGGTACGTAAGGTAGGGCGGATACCGAGTCCCGAATCGAATAGCCGAGGAATAAAGAAGGTTCTCGTCCTCTATTCGTAAATCCCAAGAGCCCAACACTAGTACCTTGCCTAGTAAGGTGCCTCGCCCCCTAGGCACCGGCGCCGCCACACATACAACGTAGGATAGACATTACCCGGAAAGTCGTTGGGCCGAATCATATGAGTTTAGCTATACGTTTCATGATTCGTGTCTTGCATGGCTTGAGGGATGGAACTAGCGAAAACACATGAACCATTGGATATGGGGGCGGGCACAGGTAGAGGCAGTCAGACCGGAGAGAATTCTGGAAAAGACCATAAATGTATAAATAGATATCGTCGTCCATACATCATACATGGGAGAAAACTGACCTTGCCCGACCCCCCGCTTCGCATTGCTCTCCCCAACCCGTTGCCCAATCTTGCGCCTAGTTACAACTTACGCAGGAGGAGACTCGGGCCAACTGACGGCCCCGTCAGGAATGGGCACGACGGCCTCCCGAGTCCAGATATGCGAAGCACCCTTCAGGTCCAGGCCCTCGATGAGCCCTCCCTTGATATTGGCCGTCGGCAGGGGAGAGCCATCGGGGGCGCGACCGCGGTGCACGACACGGGCGCCGCAAGAGCGGCAGAAGTAGCAGTCCAGGGTGCGGCCGGCGTTGCCCGGACGCGTGAAGACGTCCAGGCGGGCGCGCAGGTCCGGGGAATAGGAGGCGCCCGAGTCGGGGAAGACGGGCAGGGCGGAGGCGGGGAAGACGGCCGAGATGCCGAAGGCAGAGGACGATTGGCGGCGGCACTGGGTGCAGTGGCAGAAGTAGACGGAGAGGGGGCTGGGTGTTGCTGTGCGGAAGGTCACGGCGCCGCATTGGCATGAGATGTCCATTTTCTTGGGCTCTTGGCTCTTGAGCTCTTGGGCAGAGGTGGGGAGATTGCGGGAGGGAGGATTGAAAGGCCGGTCGCAGTGCGATGGAGCTAGAGGATAGGGGAGGGAGTCGAGGGACTTGGAAGAACAGCAAAGGAGTAACGGCGATATACCTGGGATTGAGCTCGGCGTCGAACGTTAGAATAGTATAAGAGTAGTCAGCCAGGTCCTTTCCGGAGATGGGGAAGAATGAATGGAGTGCATCTTTCGGCGACTCGAATTTGAATGGCAGTGATGGTCGTCCATCGGAGAAGAGGGAGAGGTGCACGAGTACCTAGAACATGCTGTACAATGTAAATTGGATCATGTGAGCTGGATTTACAGCACGTACCTAAGGTAATTACGAGGTATAGGTACAATTGTACACTGTCAGGGCACCCCCGTACCAGAACCGAGCCCTAATCACCACCACTATCACCGTCCCGTTTCCGTTTATCGCGTCACGCCGCACCACCCTCAACCAATTTTCCCCAGGCACCTAAATTCGCCAATGCCGACCTCGATGAAGCCCCCAATTCGACACCTGCAAACCGGACAGCGACCAACGGCTAGCTTCTGACTATATTAAGCCACAACGCTTAAGCCACTCAATCAATCCACTAACTGCTGGCTGGACGGTCAAATGCAGTTACTTCATCGCGCACTGCGCCCCAATCCTTTCTTTCCCTTCGCTTGCTGGGGGAACCAGAGTTCATCCTCCGGCGTCTACCGGAAGCCCCCTCGGAACCACCCAACCGGCTACTTCTTCCCACGGGTGACTTGTGGGAGATGGATTCCTTCGCCGCCGCTTCCTCTGTCGAACCGACGGACGTTCTAGTTGCTCTTGCAGTGAACTGTCATGCTCTTACAACAGTAAAGCCACGATCGAGGTGTCATTGTCAAGACGCGTGGATCAACACGTAACCATGGTCAATGCAGACGGTCTCGTGTCTGCGAATCAATGGCTTTTTTTTTTTCTGGGCACTGGTGACGAGACGACGACTATCGCCTGTGATGCCGTCTGTCTGTTTCTCCGAGAGACCAGGGCTGGACCTCCCAGTTCTCGCCCATTCGAAACTCTCGGGAGGATGGAGGGGACTGGATCCTCGGGCAGTACAATTGTTGGATTAACGGGCGTGTGATCCGGCCGGAGCAGAGATTCAATAGATGTATGATTGTATTCGTTATATAAAGGAAAGAAGAATAGGAAGGTGTGGGTGTTCTAAATATATCTACCCCTTTTCCACGCGAGGAATATAGGGCTAATCTAGCTAATAGAAATATAGAAAATAGGCTTACGTGTTTTTAGTGCGATATACCCCCTAATTACTATACCCTGATTAGCTTAGTAATTACTTAGCCTAACCTCGCTGGAGCCTTATAGTTAATCTTAAAATAGCTTTAAAGAGTAGTTACGTATCCTTTAAAGTCGAGTTAAAAGGCAGGTAAGGAAGCTATAAAATAAGAAAGAATAATAATAATAAGAGTAAATAATAAAGGAAAGTACTATTTAAAGTAATCAGTAGATAGGGGAGGTGCCGGATATAAATAAAAGGGTTTTTAGGCTTTTCGGAGCCTTTTTTTCCCTCTTATAACCACGGCCTCTTTTTAACGATTTTCCGTTATTTTTTCGTGCCTCGCCTAATCATTTAGACTTTTTTCTTCTTATCCTCCTTAAATAGCCGTTTTTCGTCACTTAAACGCGCTATAGTACGTTATCGGAGCTCTGATTCTTAAGGTGAGTGCTGATAGTGACTTTTTAGGCTCCCTTAACCCGTGCCGCTAGCGCTAAGGCCGCTAGTTTATCTAGCTTAACTAAGCCCGCTAGTATTACTAAGAAAAGTGCCGCTAAGGATCCTAATATAAGTGCTCCGGTCTTTTAGCCTCGTGCTTTCGTTCGTGATCGTAAGTCTCCGGTTACTAATAGAGTAGCAGACTCCTAAGAAACCTAATAAAAAATCCTCTAAGGCGCCTAACCCTAACTTTATACCGGTGCCGTTTAATCCTCCCTGTATATAATACGTGAAGGAAATTTATTCGGGTAAATAAAGCTCGTTTAAGACCTATATTACTATTAAGGGTCGCTCTAACCGTTACCGTAGGTATTATAACGGTAACTATATATACTCTTAGGTATAAGTTTCCACGCCTTAGTTATTAAGATTTATAACCGTGGATAAAAGCTCCGGTTTAAATCCGGATTAAGAATCCGTGCTCCGGTATATTCTGTTTACTAATAATAGATCCTAGTTACTTTAGTATACTCCCCCTTATTAAAATGTTAGTTAACGCGGTTTCGGTTCGTAAGATTAGACCTGGCTCCACGGATAAGGACCGTAAGGTGCGTTTTTTATCGTTTTATTCCTTAAAACTAGTGCTCCGGCTAACGATTCCGGCGTAGTTTTTAGCGAAATTAAAGTAATATATTAAATAGGAAATTAAATACCTAGAGGATAATAAGACTAAGCGCTTTTTTAAGGAAAAAGACCTTAAGTGCGTGGTAGGCCCTGGCGAGGAGGGCTTAACTAAGCCTAGTTTTTCGGCTTATTTTGAATTCTTAGTGGAGGAGGTGGTAGCGCTGTGTTTTAGAGATTAGCTCTAATAATAATAGTAATAGTAAAATATTATGCCCGTCGTGTCTTCCGGAGCCCCTTAGGGGTAAGCTATTACGCCGATTACTGAAAATAGCGCTATTATTAATAGTGGCTTAGTTATGGTAGATAGTGGTAAGACTACGGCTCCGGTTACTCCTAATAAAGCGTAGTGATAGTATTTATATTTGCTGGCTAGTGGTTTTTCTAGTTTTGCTTCTGGCTTTTAGGTGTTAGTATTTAGCTTTAGGTGTTAGGGCGGCGGTATATAGCGATACTACGAATTTTTACTGAATTAACTAAGCCGCGGGCGTGCGGCGCGCCTCTAGTACTGGATTTTAACCTCTGACTTCTCCGGTCTACCCCCTCCGTGCACTCGTTATATTAAGATATACGCGGAAGATCTCGAACTTTTATTATAGGAGTGCTTTCGTTAATCTGTCTACCGGTATAAGACTCGTAGCTAAATAAACCACCCTAAAGGTCCTTTTACCGTGCTTCTATTAAACCTATAAGCGTTAAATATCTATATATCTAAGCCGGGTTTTAATTCTATAGCCGTCGTCCACTATAAGCCTAATTATTTAAGTGTTATCGTAATTAATATCCTAAGGGGATTCGGGGTTAAAGCGTATCTCTGCGAATAGACGCTTTAATCCTATTATTTCCTTCGCGACTTACTTTAGAGCGAGTAGCTCTGCTTCGGTTATAGACGTAGTAATAGTTACTTACCTAGTTACTTTCTATATAACTAATCCTCCGAATAAGCTAATAAGATAGCCTTATAAAGATTATCGTGTATTAATATTATTAGTAAAAGAGGCGTCGCTCGTGATTACTATAGCCTATAAACTAATACTTAATCCGTACTAAATTAAGAGGTCCCTAGCTATATATAAGTAACGGATAGCTTAGTCCGCTGCCTTATAATACTCCGGGGAGGGGTTTTTAAGAAAGCGGGAAAGGATAAATACCGTAAAGGCCACGTTAGGACGTATTATAACTACTATATATAGTAATAATCTGACTTTTTCCTGGTACGATTTAACCTTTTAAGCCGTGGCCTTATCTTCTCTTTTCCGGTACTCTATAACGGGAACTAGTATCGCTGGGTATATATTAGTAGTATCTAAATTAAATCTAGCTACGATCTTCTCGATATATAAGTTATGACTAAGTAGAACCTTACGCCGGGAGCGATCACGCGTAATCTTAATTCCTAGGAACTACTCTACGTTACCTTTTTCTAATACTTTAAACCTTTTCCTAATACTATTAATAATCCTAAGGGCGTTTATAGCTTTATTCTTAAAAAATAGGATAAGGATAACGTCGCTACGAAGGTCTGGAACTATAATCGAGGTGAATCTTATAAGCTATAGAGTGCTTTATTTAGCTCTAAGTATTTATCTAGCTGCTTAAACCTATCTAGAAGCTTATATATAACGGGCGTTCCTATTCTATTCCTCTCGGCGTTAATAAAGGCGTTAACGATATCTAGTTACTTAATCTCTAGGTTAAATTAAGCGGCTAAAGCTATAATAATACGAAAAGACCTCGTAGCGAGCGTTACTGCGTAGGTTCCCTTAATCGTTAAGCTTTCCTAGAGATCCCCTCGGATATATAGCCTTACTTTATATCTCTTTAGATACCCGCCTTAGTCGAACTTATAGGTGAACACCTATTTAAGTGGAAAAGGCTTAGATTTCGCTAATACCTTATTAATTTCCCTCTATATACGTTTCTTAATTAGCTTATTAACCTCTTTTTACGCCCCTTCCTTAAACTGGTCGTGTATAGGGTGGTTATAAAGTTCTTTTAGTGCCTTAGTATAGCCTTTAGGTGGTCGTGATAGACCCTGCTATCGAGTAAGGATTTCCGTGTTAAATCCTCTATAGCTTTTGAACGAGCTTTTGTTTTTATATCGGCTACTCCGAATATTACTGAGTAAAAGGATAGAAGCCCTTATGCCTTATCGCCGCGCACTTTTTATTAATTAGATAGGAAGAACGTATACGTTAAGGGTATATCTGGCTCTACTGCATGCGCGTGGATTAATCCGAATAGTCTTCCCCTAAGTACGTTAATCTATAATTCGGGCGCTAACCCTTATTATATCCTTAACCTGTATACTCCGCTTATATTAGTGCGTGGTTACCTTAGAGTTATTAGTTTAAGATCTGGATATTAAGGGCTAGTTAATACCGTGACCTGGATTAGGAGTAGCTAGTTCCTATACCTTAGTCTACGTATTCCTCGCTCCTCCTTAATACTCCGGATTATCTGTATTAAGATTTAGTATATATAGCTCTAGCGTGTTAATAGTAGCGTCTCCTTCGGGTGCCGTAGTCTATATAGAAGAGGGTTTAATTAAGAGTTCCTCCTGCTATAGCTACGGCACGGCGCTTTAGTCCTGGTTATTCCGGCTCGGCGGATTAAGTGTAGCGCATGGGGTTTAGAGTCCTATTAGCACGGGCAGTTCGGGTAGCTTATCGTGGCCGTTAATAGTTACGTCGGTATCTAGTAGTTCCGGCGCCTTTAGAATAGTACTAGCTACTCCTACCCCTAAGTCTAAACCCGTAAACTCTACTTAATCTTTAGAAGATGCGCTGCTAGATTGGCCGGCAGGCGGTTCTACTTATAGGATAAATTTAGTATCCTTATCTTTATAGTCTTTATAGGTTATAAGCTAGTTCCTCGCCTCCGCCTCCGTAATCTACTCTGCTTCTTCGAGCTTTAAGTTATAAAATAACCGCTTATTAAACTACACGTTACGCATTATTATAACCTTCTAAAGCTACGGGATCTATATCCTATAGATATTATAGGTAATATATCCTATAAGATACCTAATATAGCCTCTAAGTTAAATGTTATATATCTTTCTCTCTCTTTTAGCTTCCTTATTCCTATCTAAGGGATAGGCGTGGTAACCGTAGGTATAAATACTACTCTAATCTAGCTATAGGTCGGCGGAATACTCTTTTATCTTAAGCGGCGCGTGCTTTTTAAACTATAAGTCTAGTACCTCGATAGGAGACTTCTAACCTAGGCGCTATGATAGACTTATATTATAAAGTTACGCCGCTACTCTTATACTCTCCGGCTATATAAAACCTAGAAGACCTACGCCGTTTAGTATAGCGTTAGACTTTATAATAAGAGCTTATCCTGCCCTTTTAATAGCGCTATTCGGTTCGTGGGTATATAGAGGCGCGATCTCTATATCGATACCCTTTATGCTCGCCTATAGCTAGGTCCGCGAATTCCCTGCTATATACACGATTAAAGGCTTATTATCACTGCGTATCTTATAGACGTATAGATTAAACTAACGCGTAACCTATCTTTCGAACGCTTCGAGGGCGTTATAGACCGTAACGCTGTTTTTCGACGCTAAAGGTAGTATATAAATCTAACTGCTATACTCCTCCTTAATAATAAGGAGATAACGTATACCGTTATAACTCTCCGGTAATTTCTGTAGGTCCTAATAAATACGCTAGAACGGCCTAGGCGAGCGGTGATCTAATAGCCGATAAGATATAACCTAATAAACCTATATTCAAGTATAGGTCTTATACTTAATCCGCTTAGTGCCTTATATTAGCACGTTCCGGGCGTTACGAACTAGTGCTCGGAGAGCTTCTAGTCCTAGGTGGCCGGCCCTTAGGTGCTATAGCCTTTCTTCGTTAATATAAGGATAAAGGGAATCTCGAGATAGTCGAAATAGCTTCGGAAGCGGCGCTCTTATCGGTCGATCGATAGCTACTACTAATATATAGATATAATCGTAGTTTACGGGAATCACGCCTTATAGTATTAGTTAAATATACGGGTAAAAAGAAGAAGAGGATAAAATTAGCTTATACTAAAGAATAGTTATATTAAAGCGTCGTAATAGCTTTAATAAAACCATACTCTTATCCGCCATTCCGTATCGTAGTAAGTAGTTATATCCCGAATACTAGATCCTAACCTTATATAATAAAGCTTCCGAGATAATATTCGTGTGAAATCCCTCTACCACGACACGTTATTAAGCTCTAAATCGACTTTCAGAGCACCTAATAGTCTATTAAGGAGGCCCTTAAAGATCCGTTTACCTTTACCGATAATAGGGAATTCCATAGTACCGGATTTAATAGTGCCGTTTATCGGGATAAAAGATCCGGGAATAAGTAAGTCGATTAAATTAACTAAGTGTATCGCGCCGTAGTTATCTAAAAGGGTGCTATACGAGAGCGGGTAGGCGCTAGATTATAGCGCGGCGTAGATACCGGGAACTTCCCCTATATCGTAAATAAGGGTTAGGTCTAAGATAGTTATAATAACCTTTAAGGGGTATCCGTTACCCTTATCGCTACTCTTACCGGCGTTTCCCTATCCCTTCTTTAATAGGGTTTCTCGTAGACTTTTCCACTTTTATTACTATAGCTTTTTCCGGATTTATTCGATATAATTATCGCTTATCTGCACGGAGAGCTACTACTCGTATTTACCTATAAGGGTATACTCCACTCTATTATAGAGCTCCGGCTTCCACGAATAGGTCCTATTATAGGGGTATTTATGCCTTTTACCCTTACCTTTTTTCCCTTTTCCACTACTATTATCGTCTTTATCGGAGCGGTTACTTAGGATAGCGTAAACGCTATACTTAGTTCTATTAAGGCTAGGAGCGCTTATAATCGCGTTAAATTCACGGCCGTATATTAGGATATTATTAAGTACTTTATCCTTATTCTCCTTATGGATTAATTCGTGGAACTTAGCCTCTACCTAAGCCGGGGTAAAACGCTGCCTAACTACGACGAGGAAGTTACGGATAGCTATAAAACCCTTAACGTTATTAACTTTATACTAATAAAAGCGCCGGATAAGAGTATTCTACTCCGTATACCATACTACTACCTTCGTATTAGCTCTTCGGGTATCCTAGAGGTGCTTATCGTATACTCGATAAACCTCCTTAGCTAAGAATAGTACGCTAGGAGCGAAGTATTTCTTTAATTCCTTTATTACTTATCGTATCGTGAAGTAATAGTTTCATTTCCCCTCTTCGTAGCTAGGGTACTTCTTAATAGCTTCCTCGACGGCTTATTAATAGGTAGAGGTTTCGATAGTCGCTTTAAGTATATAATTAGCTTTATTAAGCGCCTTAATCGATCGGGCGAGCTTTTAATAACGTGCCGTAACCTTATAGCCTTCTAGCTTAGCTAGCTTGATTAATTCCGATATAGTAGAAGGGGTTAGCACCCCGTTAATAACCTGGGTGTGTTTTTCGCGCAGCTAGTCGATAGATATAGATATAACATACTCGGGTCGGTCGTATAGCTACTCCGGCCCGTTAGGGTTAAGTAAGGCCTAGACCTCTATACCCTACGTATATAACTTAATATAGAAGATCTAATCGGCCTATTACCTAGTAGACTCTAGCCGCGGTATACCGAGCGCTTCGGCGGTAACTTTAAGCTTCGTGGATATAGTTTATAGCAGGGGTTTAGCGAATAAGGGTTTTTCTAAGCGAGAGAGTAGGGTAGATACTCCTTAATTAGCTGCGGAAGTACACGTAAAATAGATAAACGTAGATAATAGATTAGTAGGAAGTTACTAATTACTGCTACTACCTGGGCTTATAACTATTAGATTAACGGGCGTGTGATCCGGCCGGAGCAGAGATTTAATAGATATATGATTATATTCGTTATATAAAGAAAAGAAGAATAGGAAGGTATGGGTGTTCTAAATATATCTACCCCTTTTCCACGCGAGGAATATAGGGCTAATCCAGCTAATAGAAACACAGAAAACAGGCTCACGTGTTTTCAGTGCGATAATAATGCAGTGCAGTGCAGTGCAGTGCAGTGCAGTGCAGTTCCGCCGGCCTGGTCCGGACAAACACCCCTGTCTGGCTTGCGCTTACCGTCTTAGACCACTGTACACCCATCCATCGTCGCATCAACACCGAACAAGGCGACGCCAAGCTCTCCTTCCGTCGACCCATCCTTGCCTCTAAATTATAGCCAGACGCTATTTTGGTCTGCATATGTCCAATATCCTATGCTGACTCTTTTTCCTGGTCCACGACGCTGCGACTTGGGTCTCCGCCATGCCATGTCACCCCCTCACCATGAAGCCTGTAATGGACCACGCTAGGGCAGACCACACACCCCGACATCAGTGCCATTGTCGCGTTCCGCCGTTTTATCGCGGGTGCGAATGCGCATGCGAATTGAAATGATAGACCCTCAAGTGCTGCATTTCCCTGTCTCTCTGTTGCTTTCCGCCCTCGCCAACTATTTTTCGGTTCTTACTTTCCGTGCTTCCCATTTTCAACATTGGAGTCAAACGAGGACCAGCATCTACATCTAAAACCTAATAGCCTCTTCGACATGTCCGAGTCAACCAAGGACATCGACGTCGAAGAGACCCTCGCAGCTCTCAGCCTCAAGGACAAGATTTCGCTTCTGTCCGGTACGTCTTCCTTTCTCTGTCCTCGCCCATCTCATCCTCCCATCACATCCCGCCTCTTTTCGACTTGACTCACTAACCCTCACTTTGTAGGCTCCGGCATCTGGGATACGGCATCTCTCCCCGACCATGGCATCCCTTCCGTTCGCTGCACCGATGGTCCCAACGGCGCCCGTGGCTCTCGCTACTTCAACCCGGTGCCCGCTCTCTGTATCCCCTGCGGCACCGGTCTAGGCGCCACATGGAACCCGGAACTCATCCGCCGTGCCGGCGAACTGCTCTCCCGCGAATGCGAGGCCAAGGGCGCTCATATCTGGCTCGGCCCTACTGTCAACATCGTCCGCGGACCTCTCAACGGCCGGGGCTTCGAGAGTTTCTCTGAAGACCCTTACCTTGGCGGTATTCTTGCCGGCGAGATCATCCGCGGTGTCCAGAGCCGTGGTACTTCTGCCGCCCTCAAGCATTTCGTGGCCAACGACCAGGAAACACAAAAGATGACCGTAGACGTTCGCATGTCGGAGAGGGCCCTTCACGAGGTCTACCTCAAGCCGTTTCAGATGGCTGTGAAGAACGGCAACCCCAAGATCCTCATGACCTCTTACAACAAGGTCAACGGCACTCACGTTTCCGAAAACGCCCCCATGCTCCAGGATGTCGTGCGAAAAGACTGGGGTTTTGACGGTCTCATCATGAGCGACTGGTGTGCCCAACTTCCCCCCCCCCCCAGTTGTGTTTTACGGAGATCGCTTCGAGTCTAACGCATCGCAGGTTCGGCGTTTATTCTTGCGCCGAGTCCATCAACGCTGGCGTCGACCTCGAAATGCCAGGTCCCTCCTACTTACGAAGTCAAGCAGCTGACCAAGTCCGTGATGGGAAGATCGAAACAGAAACCATCGACGACCGCGCCCGTCAGGTCCTCAACTTTCTCAACTATGCCGCCAAGGCACCGGTGTCCGACACGGAGACCAGCCGCGACACGCCCGAGGACCGTGAGCTAAACCGCCGTCTAGCAGGAGAGAGCGTCGTTCTTCTGAAGAACTCGGGTGGACTTCTTCCCCTAGACCCGACGACCTGTGATGAGGTCGCCATCATCGGGCCCAATGCCAAGCTTGCCATGGCCTGCGGAGGCGGCAGCGCCAGCCTTCAGCCCTACTACACGTCGTCCGTCTTCCAGGCCATCAAGGACCAGCTGCCAGAACACGCAAAAGTGCACTACGAGCCCGGCGTCTTCGGCCACGTCCTGCTGCCAGTTCTGACTTCGGAGCATGTCACCAACGACGCCGGCGAGCCTGGTGCGTCCATCGAACTCTTCAACGAGCCGGCATCGACCCCCGGCCGCAAGCCCTTCGACTCCCACACCCTCCCGGACACGACCTACCAGCTGATGGACTACTGGCACCCGGAGATGAAGGACCCCTTCTACGTCAGCATGCGCGCCAACTACGTCGCCGAATACGACGGCACCCACGACTTCGGCCTCGCCGTCTACGGCATCGCCAAGCTCTACATCAACGACGAGCTCGTCATCGACAACGAGTCGTCCCAAACGCCAGGCGGGATGTTCTTCGGCAAAGGCACCGTCCAAGTGCGCGGCACCTACGAGATGCAGGCCGGCCAACCGTACACCCTCCGCGTCGAAGCGGGCAGCGCCGCCCTGTCGAAAGTCGAGACGCCGGATTCCATGGCCATCCCGGGCGGCGCCCTGCGTCTCGGCGGGTGCGTCCACATCGAGCCGCAAGACGGCATCCGGAGGGCCGCCGAGCTGGCGAAACGGTGCCAACACGTCTTCGTCGTCGCGGGTCTCAATTCGGACCTCGAGAAGGAGGGCAAGGACCGCGAGTCCATGTCGCTGCCCCCGCACGTCGACGATCTTGTCGGGGCCGTACTCGAGGCGAACCCTGACGCCGTCGTCGTCACGCAGGCGGGCAACCCCATTGCGCTGCCGTGGCGGGACCGGGCCAAGACGGTGCTGCATAGCTGGTACGGGGGGAACGAGGCCGGTAATGCGGTGGCGGATGTGGTCTTTGGCAGGGTCAATCCCAGCGGGAAACTGCCCGTCACGTTCCCGGCGAGGTTGGAGGATGGGCCCAGTTTCCTCAGCTTCGGGGCCGACAATGTGTCGATTTACTACGCGGAGGACGTTTTCGTCGGCCATCGCTGGTTTGAGGCCAGGAAGATCGAACCCGCGTTTGCATTTGGGTGAGTTTCTTGCTGAGTTGCGCCTCGGGGGTGCACGAAGCTTATTGCTAACAAATCGATCCCCTGTCAGTCACGGTCTCAGCTACACAACCTTCACGACATCAGACATGCAGGTCTCGGAAAAGGAAGCCACCATCACCATCGAGAACACCGGCTCCCGTGCCGGCTCGGAGGTTCTCCGTCTCTACATCTCGCACAAGGGCAAGTCGCGTTTCATCAGGCCCGTCCGGACCCTGGGTGGATTCCAAAAGGTGTCCCTCGAGCCCGGCGAGAAGAAGCGCGCGGCGTTGCCGATCGACAAGCACGGCACGTCTGTGTGGGACGAGGCGAAGAAGGCGTGGTGCGTGGAGGCCGGGGAGTACGTGGCTTCAGTGGCGGCGGGCGAGGGAACGACGGTGCTTGAGGGCCGGTTTTCGGTGGGTGAGGATGTCTTTTGGACAGGTCTGTGAGGGAATTTTCCTGTCATTCTCGGAATGGTCATTACATATGATAATGTAACTATGTATGAAGATAGAGAGGCAGAGAATGTAAATCAATGAGATCTGAGAAGGGATCATGAGTGAAATGTCACTTCACAGAGTTGACAAAATCTCAGTGAGAACTACCCCTTACAGTGTAAGGTGAGTACCCCACACCATTCTCCCACTAATACCTCATCCATCAGCCATCCTGGACATTTAACCCTGTTGTTTCCAGACGTACATCATCTCAACTAATCAAACCCACCATGCCAAACAAAATGCAACAATGGACGGCAGACAATCCCTTGATTCCCTTCGTCAGGCCTATTCGGGGAAGATATGAAAAGTAAGTAATAATTAATAGAAAAAGGATGCATATTGATCTGAATTACCGGGAATTTGCATCCCTTATGCCCTATGAATGAACAATGAAAGTATAAAGGCAGGGCGGGCATGGAATGTCAATACATCATAAAGGCTCTGTGAGACTGGGAGTGAGGTGAGAGTCCTCTCTATTGACACCCCTTTTAGGATATCAATGAATTCAACGGCAAAGTCATCAAATTCACTTCATCCATAACAGCACCATAGGATGAATTACACAATTACTTTCACACCGAAGGTCCGAAACCTGCCTCCATTCCCTAGCCATTTATCTATCGCGACCGACAATATGGAGGGCCTGATTCACGACCCCCAGCAACCCACCAAGGCGGACCACAAGCCAACTCGCCCCTGGCCTTGGCCATGGAACACCATCAACGCCCTCCTGCCAAGTCCCATCACCGGATCCTGGCCGCAATCTTCACCTCATCGAACAGCCTACCTGGACGGCCTCCGAGGCCTCGCCTCCCTCGCCGTAGTCCTCTCCCACACTCTAGGCAAAACAAACGAAGACCTCAACCTCCCCTACGGCGTCACCCCTCCCACATCTCCGCCATCATCAACAGGCAAATCCCCCCTCAAGCTCCCCTTCATCCGCCTCCTCCACGCAGGGAACGCAGCCGTGGCCATCTTCTTCGTCGTCTCAGGCCACACCCTCTCCCACCGCATCCTCCGCCGCGCAAGGGCAAGGGACTACTCATACTACGCCCCCCTGAGCGCCGACCTCTCCTCCTCCGTCCTCCGCCGCGCCGCCCGCCTCCTTCTCCCCACCGTATTCTCCTCGTGTCTGGTAGCGATCCTCGCCCAGCTCGGCGCCTTCGAGCACGCCATCCCGTCCCCCGAAACCGTCTACCTCATCTTCGCCAAGCGGATGGCCTCCCTGACCGCCCAGCTCGGGTACTGGTGGACAAGGGAAATCTGGCGCCAACTGCTCGCGCCGTGGCCGGGACCCCTGGAGACGGTAAACCTGGCCTACGGGTACCAGCTCTGGACCATCCCGGTGGAGCTGTGGTGTTCGTTCCGGCTGTTCCTGCACCTCCTCGCCCTGTCGCGCGTGCGCACCCGTGCGAGGATGTTCCTGGTCGGTGTATCCGCGGCATACCACATCGCTCACGCGCGGTGGGACGTATTCCTCTTCCTCGCGGGGATGCTCACCGCAGAACTGCAACTCATCGCCCCCGTGTCAACGTCGTCGCCGTCCTCTTCCCCCGTCCTGTCCGGGTTCGCCGGCCGCGTCGCTTTCTCCCCGAAAAGGAAACTCCAGTCTTTCGCCCTCCTGGTGGTAGGTCTCTTCCTCATGAGCGAACCGGAAACGTACCCGGACAAGTCCCCCTTCTGGGCGTTCCTCAACCGGTTCGTCCCGGCGTCGTTCGGACCGCAGAGTCCCGATCGGTTCTGGAACGCCGTCGGCGCGCCGCTCGCCGTCTACGCTGCGGGGGATCTGGGGTTTGTGCGCTCCGTGCTCGAGTCGCGCGCGGCTCAGTACCTGGGACGCATATCCTTTGGGCTTTATCTTGTCCATAACGCCGTTTTTTGCAGCCTGGGCGCATGGCTTCTGGGGTTCGAGTCTATTAATGGGAATTTGGCCATCTTGGTCGTGGTGTTGCCTGTTGCGCTTTGGGTTGGAGAGCTATTCAGCCGGTTTTTTGATGAACCTGTCGTCAGACTTGTCAAGTGGGCTGAGAAACAATGTCTGGTGGACGAGACGGGGTGAGAAGGATTTCACGACAAGGCCGACATTTGTTTGACCGGCCCTAAGCGGTGATTCGTTGAGGTATTCGGGACTGAGCGAGGAGGACTATGTTATAGAATTGAGAAATGTTTCTGTTATGAAGGAGACATGAACCAGGGATATGAATTACAGATGTCGTTGGCCTGGCCAAGAAATTAAGCCGTAATGTTGATGGTGCATTCCCGAGCCTTTTCGTTTCTTTCGTGACTGGGACTCTATGAGCAAGTTATATCAAGTGTGGAAACAGAACAACCAACGACCCATGTCATGCTCCTCTATACTCTACGGTCATGACGCTATTGACATGATGACGCTCTTGCCATGATATGCTGGTGTTGGCAAAATGCAAAATGCAAAATGCCAAAAAAAAAAAATCGAAACAGAAAGAAAGAAATACTCAGCGCTGATGAATCCAAAAGATAAACTCAAGAGTCAGGCTCCTCTTCATTATTATTACACCTTCGTCCAGAAAGGCTGCCCCGCCTTGCGTCTCTTCACCTCTCTCGCAGTGGAAATAAGCACCGTACCCGCGACCAAAGAAGTGCCCGCGAACGCCTGGGCCCCGGCGTAGCTGCCGTCCATAGCGGTGAGGATGGCCCCCCCTATGGGCGACCCGATGAGCACGGAAAAGCTCACAATGGTAAAGACCATGCCGATGCGCGTGCCCTGGCGGCGCGGGTCCGTGGTCAGGGCACTCAGCGCGGCCGGGAACATGGACTGGATGCCTCCGGCCGCGATGCCGTAGAACACGGACCAGACGTAGAGCCCCGCCGGCGACGAGACGGCCATCCAGCAGTACATCAGCAGGGCGGAGATGGCAGCCAGGGGCACCAAGACGTTGAGGGTCCCGATGCGGTCGGCGATGTGGTTGGGCACCAGGCGGCCGAGGTAGCCCATGCCGTTGAGGATGAGAAGCAGGTTGAGAGAGGTGGGGTAGGACATGCCCTGGATCTCGCGGGCGTAGGAGGCGAGGTAGTAGAAGGCGAAGTAGACGCCCAAGAAGCACTAGCCGGGAGCTGGTTAGAAGAGAGGGTAGGCGAGGACAGTCGGGGGGAAAGGGGGAAAGGGGGAAAGGGGGAAAGGGGGAAAGGGGGAAAAGGATGGCTCACCATAAAAGCACCGCTGGCATACAAAGTGTACTCCCCCTCCCTAAAAGCGGCCAGTTCAACCAGCTTGCCCGACCTGCGCGGCTTGATCCTCGACCGCAGAAAAATAATACTGATGATGAAGGAACCCAGCTGGATAAAGCCGATGGCGCGCATGGTCCAGCCGAAGCCGACGCGCGGGAGCAGCTGCCTCACCATGCTGGGGAACACGAGACCGCCGGTAGCACTCCCCGAGGCGGTGATGCCAATGGCCAGGGCGCGGCGCCTGTGGAACCAAGTGGCCAGGACGGCCAGGCTGGGGCAGAAGACGAAGCCGTTGCCGAGCCCGACGCAGAGGCCCTGGGCGAGGAAGAACTGCCAGTACTGGGTGCACCAGGAGGTGGCGAAGGTGCCGAGCAGGCAGAGGACGGCGCCGATGGTGAGGGAATGGCGGGCGAAGCCGGCATCGGTGAGGCGGCCGGTGAAGGCGCCGATGAAGAAGAGGAGGAAGATCTGGAAGGAACCGATCCAGGAGATGTCCTCGGGAGGCCGCGAGAGGAGCGTTGTGTAGTAGGTCTGGAATGTGCCGAACGAGTTGATGACGCCCCTGTACAGTAGACGGACATGCCGAGTCAGCTTTGGCCATGACATGCATGCCTAGGAATGGGCCGGGCCGCCGGAGAACCATAAGACAGGCGACGACCCATGGGGCGGTCATCAGCATGAACCATGAACCATGAACCATGAACCATGAGCCATGAACCTACCATGTGTTCATCACAATGAGGTGCCCACTCAGGACTACAAGAAAACAAAATTAGACTTATTTCATTCACCCCGTACCGTCGCTTTTGGCAAGAACGATTGATAGAAGAGGGAAGAGGACGAGCAGACGGTGAGACCACTTTGGCACTTACCAACCAGCCACGCGGCCAATCCCCCATCCGGCGCTGGCTCCGGGGCCACGCTGGACTTTGACGACACCACCCGGCCGACGGCTCCCGTATCCTCCCTCGGTAACTCTTCTTCCGCCGTCGATACGTCTCGTATCCTGTCGCCGTTCGGGGGAGGGTACTCGTCCAGCGAAGCGGTAGATTCACTGGGTCTGGAACCCGTGTCGCGATTGAATTTGTCGTCGTCATTCTTTTCTAGGACGGCGACGGCTCCGAGACCTCCTTCTTCTGTGTCTCGTGTTTTCGATTGCTCAATCCTCGTCTCACTGTGGACCTGCTGTTTTTCGACATCATCTTCACTGGGCCTGAACGAGGGCGTGTGGCCCGTCATGGCTGTGCCTGTGAGTCGTCTGGTCGGGTCCCCTTTTTCCTCTTTTTTTTCCCTTTTTTTTTTGCCTTTCTTCGGTCCGATTATTGGCTCGGAGAAATCGGAACGAAACTCAGAAAGCTCGGGCGTTGACCGAGTCGTGAGTATGTCATGAGAAATACGAAAATGAAGAATATCGATTCAGCTGCAGTATGTGGAATAATGAAGATGAATTGATCTGCGAATTCAAACCCTGTCCATCTTCCAGAAAGATTTAAACAAATGACAAAATCACACAATGACAAATCCAAATGGCAGGGAACCCGGACCGAGGGAACAAAATTGTCAGAAGGAACGGCAGAGATGACTGCTTCTTTCTCTCTCCGTTCTCCGTGCGTCTCTGACTCCTTCGTGGGTCCTTCCTCTCTCCGAACACCGAGTATCCTTGTACTACGTAACTACCTTACTTAAGGTACTATGTAAGGTACCTTAGGTAGTCCACCGTGATCTGGACTTTGCACACTCCGTACTCGGCAGTCCGTACTTGGATCATTTACTACCTTAGGTAACGGTAATTACGGGATTCTTAATCCACGCAAAACAGTAAAAAACAAGCTTCGACGTTTTCGAGAACCTTGGGAACCTTGGGACGAATACGATGTAACAACTTGTGAAGCAGCAACAACGGACAACGGAAAGAGAATCAGAATGGAAGTCTCAGCCGACGGCACTTGCCCGTGCCGAGCGTTGAAGGTTTCCTCGACCAACTGTTAATTCCATTGACCCAATCACGACCCTCTATTCTCTTTCCCAAAGGGCGCAGATGACTTATTGCGTGCTCTACGAAGTACCCGTGCCACGCCCCATCTTATTCCCGACCCACACCATCTCGCATGCTTTTAGCGCACTCTCAGCAGGTACCACACTCGGACCCCAGATTTAGGAACTTCATATCGCCCAGGACCTACCTTAGCTTACGTACTGACCACCTGAGGTACGGTACGTAGGCCAATTTCCCGGCCGCTCTTTTCTTCTCTCGGCCGTGGACGGACGAATGGTTCTCTATTCGTAGTTTTGGTATTCTTCTTTATAATTAGACTACGGCGTTCTCGAGAAAGAAGTCATTGATCGGTTCGAACGAGGATACGAACCATACCTGACAACACCGACAACAACACTAGACTTACACCCAGACTTACACCCAGCAAAGGCCATGAGGCCCATGACGACAGACGACCAACATCTGGATTTTGGCGGTCCAGCTTCTCAGCTCGAATCCGCTCAATGTGGCCTGTTATAACTTATAGTTTCGGGGCCATGGCAATTATGCTTCAGCCCTCGGCCCTCACGGGTTCCCCGACACACTTAGAGTTGATGTGGCTACGATCTATCAAAAGCAGTTCGTACTGTTGGTTTATGTGGAAGCTTGGGGGACATAAATACGCGTCTTCCCGGCTTCTCGAGACTCTTGTCCTCCTGTTCTCCATGTTCTCCATGTTCTAACATCGTCGTATGACCGGTGTATCCTTCGACATCGTTAGAAACACATTAACACTATGAGTGCTAAGTTATGGCCCGTCATCGTTTCCGAGTGCTTCACCAAAACACCGCCGATGGTGCAGTCACCACGGCGGAACCAGAGAGCGTCGACCTAGAGTTGAAAGAGTTGAAGGAGCGGTTGAGCATCGCCAGAAGGGTCGTCAGAAAGCTCCGCAGTGGTGGTGTTACGAGGTATCCCGACCTGGGGAATTTCCGCTTGAACCTGATCCAGCTTTCCGCCTTCCTCTTTGGCGATCTCCAAGTTCTTCGACGCGATGCTCCGGTGGGGTGGTTGTACCATCACTACCGTCTGCGAGACCTGGAAGCTTTGTTGGTTGTGTGTACGTTGTCCCCCCCCCCCCATATCTCCCTCCCGATGTTTCGTCACGCGTGTTCGAGTGTTCGATAGAAGCTCACGAAATTGGCCCACCCCTCAGTCCTGCGTCGTCAACGTGCCGAAAGTATACCGCGCAGCGCGGAAGGGCTCGAGGTGAGTTGACGTCTTTCCACCCAAACCCGTCGGAACAGAATAGTGACAGTCGAATCTCTATCCTGTACGCAGGCTTTGAAAAGAGACGGAGAAGTCTCTGTCATCTCGGAACCCCGCCCCGACGTTCGACACTTCTGGCCTCCCACTAACGCCTGGGGATCCTACCCCGAAGTTCAACACATCTGGCCTCACACCGTCAACGACACCCCGGACAACCTCAAAATAACCAAAATGGCCCTCCCCGCCGCGAGAATGCTAGTCAAAATGTCCCTTCTGAAACAGCTGTATCGCCTGCTCGTCCCCCCCCCTCCCGGCCGGAAAAACGACGATTCGCCAACCGCCGAACCCCCCTCGTTCGACAAGGCCTGGAACATGGTGTCCCTGACCCCCCAGCTATGCAGCCGCTTCCGGAACGCCATCTTCGGGCTCAAGTGGGTGGAACCCAACGACCTGACGCTCAGCGCCGAGAAGCTGGCCCATGGCGACGGGGGGGACTACCTCTACTACCAGGTCGAATGGTGCGAGTTCCCCGAGTCCTTCGCCGAGACGCTGAGGAACCAGCTCGGGCCCTGGGAGAGCGCGCGGCCCCGTTACCAGACGATCGACCTCGGCTGCAAGAGGACCATCGACGCGCTTCGGGAGTACACGAAGGCGTTCTGGGCGGTCACGCGGCCTGTCAAGCCGGAGCGCATCCTGACCCTCAAGGTGAAGCGCGGGGACTATAAAAAGACCGAGCTCATGATCCGGACGCAATGGGTTTTGATGCAGATGGCTGCGTTTTCGGGTGCGGGCGATGTTCGCAAACTGATTCCGCTGACGGCTTCGAAACTGCCGGGTGATCCGGAGCCTGCACGGGCCGGATGCGGAAACGACAGCGACAGTGAACGCGAGGATTGGTACGAGCTCCTGTGGGATTGGGATTTCGACTGTGACTTTTATGAGTTCCTTTCCGAGCCCGAATCCGAGGGCTAGGTAGGATACATCATACGGATGAGTCGTGAGTCGTGACGAATCACGATCAGGGGTCGGATGCTGAGAAATGAGAGTAAAAAGAGTATGACTGAGAGTAGTGAGAGTGAGAGTGACGTTGAAACGGGGAGCTCTATCCGTAGGACCGTAGTTAATTAGTGAGCGCAGTGGAAGCCTGGAAGACCAAACGCGACATTGTCCTTTAGGTCATCATAATCCAATAATATATTTTGTTCCAGCAAACCGGTTCATCCGTTCAATATCAACGTCAATGTGGCATTGTATGGACTCTGCTCGTATCCTTCGTATAGTTAGCCATGTTGAAGATTTTGGTTTGCGTGCAAAGTCGAGATGAGAAAACCAAAAGGGAGTCCGAGTGCTTAGTAAACATTCTGCGCTTGGGCCTTGGAGTATTACTAAACGGACTCTTAGGGGGTCTGATGACGTAACTGGTTCCGTTTCCGGACATGAGGTGGAGAAAAACGAGGGACGCGACACCTCGATGTCGCGGCATCGTCCCCGTCATTTCTGCCTACCTTACCTTAGTACCACGATACCTCTCCAAACTTATCCCCCACTCCTTCTCCCTTTGTTTGTTCAGATGGCAGATCCGCTACCTCCACACTCGACAGGTGTCCCTGGGCGTGTCGCCAACATGCTCCGGCCCTTCGAGCGTCCCATCAGCTACCTCGTCCGCGCCGGGAGGGCCGCCTCCTACCCTCTCCGAGGCATCTGGTATTTCTTGCGCAACCCCGAGTTCTACCCTCTGCTGCGCGGCCGCCTGATTCCGCTTACCATCATTTCCATCCTGGTCTACGTCATCCTCTTTACTTTCGCCTTCCTACCACAGCTCGCGCTTCTCGCCATCTTCCAGGGTCGGAGCGCCTGGTTGAACGCCACCATCTTGGTGCTGGGCGAGGGTCACGTCCTGATCCAAGGCCTGTTTGAGGGATTCTTTGTCGACGAAGCCAGAGTCGACGTTTTTGATGTAAGATCCTTACTCTTTCTCCTACCCTAACCATCGCAGTGCAGAAACGATCGGGTGCTAATCGAGTTATTGCAGGCCACACTGATCAAATGTTCTCACACCAACCTCGTCGCCCCCCACCGAATCCTCTACCCCGATGCCCCCAACGCTGTGAAGATGCTAGGCAAACCGACCACCTCGGCCGTCTACACACCCTGGAGCGTGATCCAGATCGTCGAAATGATCGTCTTCCTGCCTCTCAACTTCATCCCCATCGTAGGGGCGCCCGCCTTCATCATGATCACCGGCACCAGACTGGGCAAACTGGCCCACTACAGGTGGTGGACGCTGCGGGGTCTCAACAGCAAGGAGAGGAAGAGGGATGCCAACTCCCGCTTGTGGGAATACGTGTGGTTCGGCACCGTGGCCATGATCATGGAGCTCATTCCCGTCTTTGCTTTCTTCTTTCTCTTCACTACCAGTGCTGGCGCTGCGTTGTGGGTGGCCAGGTTGGAGGACGAGAGCCGGGGGGATGATGCCCAACCCGTGGACGACGAACGTCGCGACACTGATGACCACCCGCCTCCTCCACCCTACCAGGACGACCCGGTGTGAAGTCGCCATACCGCCAAGTATCACGTGCTCGAGTATCACTTACGACCAATCCACGGACCAGACAGGATTAGAGAAGATGTTTACTCGATCACGACAGCCCTCTGCCAGCTCCTCCAGGCCTTGGACTTTGTTAAACTGTGTTCAACGTCCAGGAGCCAGAGTCCCTGGCCCACCCACATATCGCGGGGTTCCATTTCTTGCCGGGTGTGGCGGAGAGCGGAGACCTGGACGCTTCTTTTGAAGCGATGACCTAGCTTCAGTCGAAGATGCCACCATTATACGCCGGTGGAGGGGGGCTAGTCCTAGGGGCCATGATACGGGGAAGATGCACCCACCAAGACTCAAACTGCCCCAGGTACACGTCTCAAAGGCCATTGGAGTGACCATTTTGCTGTCAATTCTCCAGTCTTGGGTAGGAGTTTACGAACGTCAGCAGCCGACATAGTGGTCTTGAAAATCGAGGCACTGGAGACGCTGAAAGGCAGGGACCACAAGCAGCTCCTCGTATCAGCGGCAGCCGGGGCTCGGCCATGTTCGTGGATAGAGTATGGAGCGATTTTCCCGACTTGACTGATGCCCTTTTTTCAAGTCCGCCTGGTTCTAATACCTACGTCATATTACAGCTCAGTGTAACAGCCACTTAGCTGACAGGGGCGGGAGAAAGAGACGTGTCCGGTCCGTTCCTTGCATTGAGACATCTTAATAATGCCACCCGCTGCGGTGTCACAAATCATCTTCCAAATCCGACGAAAAATGTTCAAAATACAGGTACGTACGTAGCCAGCAGCAGGTGCTTGGCGTGGGGGTGGTCATCGAGCGCAGCGGCACAGCGCCTAGACTTTTCAATTTATCCGGTTACGAAACGCGCGGCGCGTTGCCTTCTTCTCAAGTGCAAGGAGAATGAATGGTCTTGGCAGGTGACGACAACCTCTGGCATCCAATGGTATGGCCCGGAAGGCAACTCCTCTTCCCAATGCGTGCGCGCAGTGCAATGAAGCCTTTCCTAGGTTCTCGTCCGCCGAGTTTGTCGGAGCCTCGTGTCATCCCATCGGTATATGGGCGCAGACCGAGACAAAGCAAAGTTTCAGACCATCTCGGAAGCCAATTTTGCCGCCCCCCCAGCTCATACTCCTCAGATCTGGAATAACAATGGCAACGGAACGACGTGGAAAGTTCTCTATGCCTAGGCGCATCAGCGCCAAGAGAACGCCCAAAGGGCAATCAAGCCAGTTTCCTCGAAATCAGACGGAATTCGCACCCGAAACCGAGATATACGAGGGCGGATGACTCGGACTCTCTTCCCCACCACGAAGACACGGGGACTGGGCAACCCGCGCCACCAGCGCCGATCACTCGCGCCAGAGCTCCCGATCTTCAGGAGGATGTACACTGTGTAGAAGCTCCCATGCGCAAATCAGCGGATCGGACAACAGGATCAGTGCCATCAGTGGTTCTTATCAGACTAGTGGTGCCGGAGTATTGGGAGTCGTCGCCTTTGGTAGCCAATGGAGGAAGGAATCAGACAAGAAACGGCAGGCGACATTACCTCCGTCGAGCGACAATGCGACTTGGCGCCGGTGACCTTCGGGGTTCGGGCTTCCCGGGTGGGGTTTCGGGCCGGCGAGCGGATTTCATGGGCATAAACAACCCCTCAGGCTGAACCAGGAGATCAACGATGCAATCAAGATAGCAGAATTCCTTGTCGAACCTGTTCAAAGTGTAACAGCTGGGCGCTTGGCTGGCATGCAGCCAGTAGTCGCGATGGAAGAACCTCAACCACCGTCGTTCTGAGGCTCAGGAGCCTAGAGGTCAGCTGCCAGGATTGTCCCAAAGTCAGGACATACTTTACATTGCGTGATGACGTTGCCTTCTCGATAGGGAAAGACAATGGAGGAAGAATCGCGACGTCTGACTTGGTTTCGCCGTGGGACGGCTCTCAAGATGCGGCTCGTGGGTCTACGGACCATGTATCTCCGTTGAAATATGTCGATCACTGCCTTGCCGGGGATATACGCAACACACTTCCACAACCCACGGGATTCTTGGGAGCACTCCTCCAGGTTCGGGGGATCAAGTTCGCCCTGGCAAGCGTTGGCAAACGGGATATGGAGGGGTTGAGGCGGGCCGTGACGCCCGAAGCAAGGCCGTATTCCAGTCCAAGTGTCCACCACGCTTGGTGAGGTCGAGATCTCATGAGTGTTCTTTGATCGTCTGAGAACAAGTATAAGAAGTGAGCATCATCGCAGCATTGGGAACCGCTGTTCACTAGACACAACAACAACAACTACAACAACAACCTTCATCGCGCCTCACCAGCAACTGTTGTTACGCCTTGTCCCTTCACTCATCGTCTCCCGGCTTTCTGACCATAACTACCTACAATGGCTCAGAAGACTCTGCTCGCTACCATCCTCGGTGCGGCCTCCGTCGCCGCCCACGGTTTCGTCGAGACCATCACGGTCAACGGCCAGACATACGAGAGCTACAACCCGGCAACCTTCCCCTACATGCCGAATCCCCCGCCCGTGCCCGGGTGGACGGCCGACTTCCCGGACCTGGGCTTCGTCGAGCCCGCGGCGGCCGGCAACCCGGACATCATCTGCCACCGCTCCGCGACGCCGGGCCAGTCGCACATCTCAGTCAGCGCGGGCGACACGCTGACGCTGCAGTGGACCCCGTGGCCCGAATCGCACAAGGGTCCCGTGATCGACTACCTCGCCAACTGCAACGGCGACTGTTCCAACGTTGACAAGACGAGCCTCCAGTTCTTCAAGATCGCCGAGCAAGGGCTCATCACGCCGGGCGACCCGGCCACGGCCTTCTGGGCCGCCGACAAGCTGATCGCCGACGGCGAGGTGTGGGAGGTCACCATCCCCGAGGACATCGCGCCCGGTTCGTACGTGCTTCGCCACGAGATCCTCGCGCTTCACTCTGGTTCCCAGCCCAATGGCGCGCAGTTCTATCCTCAGTGCATCAACCTCCAGATTAGTGGCAGTGGCTCGGCCAACCCCAGTGGTGTCCCCGGTACTAGTCTCTACACGGCCCAGGATCCGGGTGTTCTCTTTAACATCTGGACCGCTGTTGATAGCTACCCCATTCCTGGCCCTCCTCTGTACAATGCCCGCAAGACGCGCCGCCACGCGAAGGACATCAAGGCCTGAGAGGTCTGGAGGTCTGGACGGAAGTGGGTATGAGAAGGCTTCAGGAGCGCTCGGCGTGAAATTCGTGAGGGATATCTCACTGAAGACGGTACCCGCTGTCGTCGTCAGAGCTGGGCTTTGTACATACAGAGGGGAGGATAAGAAAAGAAAAGAGTCAGTTATATTCGTTGTACATGGTTTTTTGGAATCTCTGAATGAGAAATTGATTTGATACATTGTGTCATAAAGTTCTTGGGGTCTCTGTTTCGATAACATGCTGCAGAGAGATATAATATCCAAGCAAGGTCGTGAAATGCGTGTTGGTGATGAGATGTTTGGGGAAGACAAAGTGAAGACAAGTCACCCATCAGAGATACGAGGATAACGAGGATGGAAAGAATAAGGTAGCAAATACGAGTTTCGAAAAAAACATGTCTGAATGAATAGTCACTCTGTATAAGATTAAACGGAGGTTAATAACCACTTATTGTCGCTCATTGTCACTTGCTGTATATGATTTGCTGGTTTGTCGAGGGGTCGAGGAACTTGCTAAAGATGACTGAGAAGATGATGTGAGTTGATGTCTTAAGTGAATCCTCGTAACTCATAAACGAGTCAAAGTAAGATAAAGCACATTAAAAGCCTCTTAGCGTTGGCTTTGAGTAAGGGAATAATTATAGGGGCATAGACGGTGTAGACCTCGAGGGATAAGACACACCAGCCAGTTCTAACGTCCCATTAGTCAATTCTTAACCTGAGATGGTTGACTTGAGAATTACCGACGTCCGACCTTGCACGTTGAGGTATGAGTAGGCAAACTGCACTCTCTGTCGCCTGTAGATAATTTCACACATCTTCCTTGCTCGTATGCCTTATTAGAACTTACATTACGTGTAGGTGAGAATTGTATCGAAGCAATAGGCGGCGTACCGGGTCTGTACTTAGCACTGTCCGAGCAGATCAGTCTCGGGTTTTTATAGTCCATATTGCCGGATGTCACACAGGCTCTTTTTGTACTTTTATTTGAAGTATGTTGACATTTCGACCGAGTAGCTTAGAAAAGCTGCAAGAACAAGAATGAGCCTGGTTTAATTCAGTACATACCGGGGTTCTTGTTTCTGCCAAATAGTGAGTCGTATCATATGAGGCATGCCGCATCATGCATGAGCCAAGAAATGACCTTTGTGATACGAAGACGTAGAGTCAGGTGCCAGGGACTCCTTATTCGTACATCCCTCTAACCTTCAAGTCTAACGATCTACCTATCTCTCACTCACCTCAATACCTCATTAAACTCATCCAGACCGCGTCGCGGCGTCCTTCCGCACTCTGTATAGTTTACCGCCCGTCCCAAGTGTCCAACGGTTACCTCTTAACGGCCGCACCGCCTCAACACGTTCACCCATTTACTCTCAAACGCTGCTATCCGCTGTAGGTGAGTTCCTCGCCGAACCAGGATCATTGCTGATATGCCTGATATGCTCCAGACCCTTCACGATGTGTACCAACATCTGGTATAACTTGGGTACGCTGAATGCGGCTGCATCAAATACATCAACACTATCGTATGCGACGACCCTCACCCAAGCCACTATGAAGGCGTCCATGATGTCACAGAAAGGGTAGCTGGAAAGTGTGATGAACATTCGTATGTGACGCCCCCGACTCTGAGTAATAGTCGTCGACTGGAATACCTCACCTCACGGGGTAGTCAATACACACGGATACTTCTTGGAACTAATTACTACATTGGTTATTCAGCCGAAATTATGTCAGCGGAGTGTTTGTGTCTACCCATCCGTATTACCTATTCCTTCATCTCTTCTCTTCCATCTCCATTCTTCAGTCCACCGATCGCAAATCGACATAGCCCCGCTGTCCTTCCATCATGGCTATTCGCATCCATGTAAAATGTATGTCCGACAGTATCCCCGGTAATCCTGCCGACCGGAGGATGGCGATGGCAAATCTCATCTGTCAGTACAAACTTGACCGTGACTTCGACGCGAGCCGCGACTACCTGCGATCCGTCGGTCAATATGCTGTCGATCGAGTCCGATGCCAGTTCCTCCTAGACATTGGGCCACGCGCAAGTAAAGATCCAACGGGTTGGTCCTATAAATGGGACGGGAAACAGTTGTAAGTATAAATGTCTTCGCTATCCCGATTTCCTTCTTGCTCAAGTCATATCAGTCACGCCAGGGAGGTCACACCGCCGCTTATTTGGTACCTCACCAAGACATATCCGTTCCATCCAGACCCAGCCACACAGAAAGTTCTTACGGGTAAGGAACTCAGGACCGCCTGCGGCGAAGAAGCTTACCGGAAGTTGGTTTCAAGCCGAATCAAGCAGAAGCAGAGATGGGGCCTCGAGCTTTCACTCGAGGATACAGAGTTCCTTCGGCAGGCAGCAGAAGACACTAAGATAACTGATACATCATAAAGAAAACTGGATAAATGCCGTTTACCACTAATTCAGCTCCGAGCACAGCTTCTTGGTTATCAGATTTGTCGATGAGAAGGACTCGGGCCCATGGTTTGTCGGGTTTGACGGTTGTGATACTGCCACCCACATGGTTGTTCGGAGACTGGTACTCCGGTGAACTCCCGTCAGTGAAGTACCTCACGGTAAATTCATGTAAGTGTACCTAACGGGTAATGAGTCGAGCATGATATTAAGAAGACCAGAAAACCATATGGTCTATGATGAGATGCACAGGTTCATGTAGTATTGGAGGCTCAGTCGGGATGAGTGAGTAAGTGTGATTATATAATCAACCGCTGTCAGGTACCTAGGTACTATTCCTGCACTTTCTGACATTCCCTCCAACGCATCTCCAGACTCCAGGCTGCAGCACGCAGCCTCATGGAGACCCGACAAGACCACCAATCCCGCACGGCGCAACACCACCCCCTGTGCCCAACAGTACTCGATCAAAACATTCATTTACTGGCCGTTTAGGCGCCTGTGGCGCAGTCTCGGGTCTCCGACCATGGCGACTCGCCGCCTCGCGAGGCCTCTTGCCTTGCCTTGGCTTCAACCCCGCCCGTCCGCGTTTTGCTCCGTTTAATATCTATCGTATCTGACCTTTTAGCAACGCTGCAAGGGGTGCCCTGATATTCGTTATACTTCTCTGGGAACTACGCCTGGTCAAAGTATCGTCTCCGAAAGAAGATGCCCGAAAAGCCCGATCAACAAGTTCAAGTGACGCTCCCCGATGAGCCGAAGCGAGATGGAGAGGGCCGAGTCGAGATCGCAACGCCCCGTTCCAACGACAAATGGGCTGAAGCTCTGGATAAACTCAGCAAACTGGATCGAAGCAGGTTTGATCTGGCGAAGACAGCAAACTGCACACCGCAGCGTGTCTTGAAGGACGTGCTCGCGGCAACCAACGACAGAAAAGAGGAGTGTGTCAAGAAGCAATGGAAGATCACGATCAAAGGCCGAGTCATCGTCCTTCGAAACATCCTCGAGAAGATCTCGGTCTGGACCGTCAAGCTCATGGTCAGTTTCACTAACCATCTGAGCAAAACCCAACCACCACTCGCTTACTGACTGGGCTCTTCTTGCCTCACTCAAGAGTTTGGGCAATGCCGCTGCGCAGTATGATCCCTTGTACACAGCTCTCCCGTGGGCAGCCATCCGTCTGATTCTTCAAACGGCCATCAGCGATATCGAGCTCTCCGGATACACCTTGCATACTGTCGAGAGCCTCGCCAGCATCATTGCCATAACAACCACCCTGGAAATGAGATACCTACGGACCCATGCAGACTGTCCCAAGTAAGCCATGACACGACACCACTTCGACGCAGCGGGGTGGTATTTGTGCTAAGCGATTCTTCGCTGATATGCTAATCTTCGCTGAAAGGCATGTCATCTTGAACCAGCTCGCAGACGGCGTGGTGCTGCTCTACGCTTCCATCCTGCAATATCTTTCCCTCGTTCTGGGCTACTATTGCCATAACACCGCTACCCGGCTGCTCAAAAGCGTCGTCTCACCTCTGAACGACTTTGTCGACAAGTTTAAATCGGTCGAGAATGCCCGGAAAGACCTCTGGGATCTCGTCCAACTGGCCCAGGCGGAAAGTATGGAATCCCTCATGCTCCATCTCGCCAACATGCAAGAGGCCCAACTCGAGGAGAACCGAGTCCAGTTCGACAACCTGGGACGATTGCTTGAGGAGCTGAGGCAGCCCATTGACGGACTCGAGCGCGCGACGCGCCTCGGCATTCTGCGGGCGATTTCAACGCTCCCGTATGGCATTTATCACAAAAATGCCAGCAAAGGTCGTCTCGAAGGATCCGGACAGTGGCTTCTGGAGAGGAAAGAGTTTCGCGCCTGGCGTGACGACGATACTTCGTCGGTTCTCTGGCTCCACGGGATTCCCGGGTCGGGGAAGACGAACTGACCTCGCTCGTGGTGGACGAACTCTCCCAAGACGACATGGAGGGACGACCCCGCCAGCTGGCCTTCTTCTATTGTATGCGTAATCCGGCGGAGCCGCAGCGAGGTCAATGCGACAAGATCCTCGCGAGCCTGGTGCGTCAGCTGGCCAGCGTGGGCTCCGAGCAGGCCGTCCTAGGTCCCGTCGTGACCCACTACACGGACGCTATCGAAGGGATAGGCGATTTCGGAGACCAAGCGTGGTCGACTAAGGAATCGTCTAGGGTTTTGCGCGAGCTCATGGACGACCACCCTGCCGTGACCATCGTCTTGGACGCGCTCGATGAAGTCGGCGAAGACGACCGACAGGAACTCATGGATGTGTTGAGTCAGCTGCTACGCGAGGCCCCGAACACCTTGAAGATTTTCATCTCGAGCCGGGACAACTACGACATTGCCCTCCATTTTAAAGGTTCGCCCAACGTATACATTGAGGCCGATGACAACGCTGGCGACATTGCTGCTTTCATGTAAGAGAATAGAACCCGAGCGGCCCATTTGGAAATAGGTTGCTTGCTAACACCTGTGTGTTCTGGGAGGAAAAGTGAAGACCGTTTGACCGCAGCTAAGCTGCTCCGTGGCAAGCTGTTAGATGACCTTCGCGCCAGGATTACCGACGCCCTGATATCCAAGGCCCGTGGCATGTGAGCTTAGGAGGCCTTAGACGTCCCTTGTAGAGAATTGACTGGCTGACATGAGCCTAGGTTTCGCTGGGTTGACCTCCAGATTCAGTCTCTCCGACCGCTAAAGATCGCTGCCGACGTCGAGTCCCGTCTCGGCGTGCTGTCGGCCACGCTGGAGGAATCGTATTGGGAGATTTACGAGGACATCCGCCGCTCGGGCGATCACGCCGCCGACCTCGCAGACTTCACCTTCCAGTGGCTGCTGTACGCCCAGGATTCCATCCGCATCGAAGAGTTCGCCTTTCTCGCCTCCTCCGCACTCGATCCCGATGGCGTCCAAAGGTTTACCCAGAGTGAGATCATCGATGTTTGCTGCAACCTTGTTGTCGTGAGAGGACGAGCCTTCGAATTCGCACATCTCTCGGTGCGCGAGTTTCTCGAAGGCCTCCCTAAGCGCAACGTGGACAAGATGCTTCCCCGGGAAAGTAACATGAGCATCGCCATGGCGTGCCTCACCTACATGTCGAGAGAATTCGACAACTGGAAAGGTCTCGATCCGGACAAACCCGCAGAGGACACCGAGCTCGCGGCTATTGGTTATGCATCTTGGTTCTGGGTGCGGCATGTCAACGAGAGCCACGACGCGCGCAAGACGGAGCCACTTTCGAGCCACATCATACGTTTCCTCTTGGACGGTACGGACGGTACGGCCCCGACCGTCTCGTCTCGTTTTCGCCACTGGGGTCCGACAGTGCGGCGTTATCCTTTCCTTTTTGGCGAAGTTAGCCCTCGCATGGGGAGAGAAGAGGAGATCAGGCTGCAAATCACGTCCCGTAATCCGCCCAATCCTATATGGGTTGCTTGCATGAACAGCTGGCTCGAGATAGTAGAGTACATGTACGCCGCCGGGGTTGAGGGCTTGGAAGCGCCCCGCGTTGTATACCCTATGTTCATGCAGGATCCGGTCACGGTTCGCGGGTACTTCGGGCCAAAGATATCGCCACTCTGGTGGGCCATACTGACAGGGAACGTAGCCGTCGCGGAGTGTATCCTGGCGCAAGGTTCCGATCCGCTTCAGCCAGAGTCGCAGATGGCTGAGTGGCCGCTAGTGGAGGCAGTTTGGAGTGGGAACGAGAAACTCGTCAGCCTACTGTTGAGACACGAACATGGAGGTCTCATGGCGGAAAAAGAAGCGTTTAGAGAGGCCGCCGCTCGAGGCAATCTCGGCATGGTGAATTGTTTTGTCCGTCACGACCCCGAGATACTGCAAACGACCGCCGGAGATCTAGCCTTGCAGGAAGCCTTGAAAAATCGGTGCCTTAATGTTGTTTACTTCCTCTTCGAGAGGGGTATACCACCGGGCCCTGGAGCCGCCAGGTTACTTCTCAACGTTCCCGCATCGGATGAGGAGGCGTTCGACCTATTCTTCAAGGCGGAGGCAGAGAAGGCGGCAGAAGCGTTTCTTCGTGCGAACAGAGACGACTTGCACATACCACAAGCGGCACTAGCGAGGTTCGAGATGCGTATTAACGAGGCGCTGGTTGACGTTGCCAGCAGAAACAGACGCGAGTCGCGTCACGCGACGATAACGTCGTCGGGCTGCATAAAGCGCTCCTCGAAAAGACCGGTTTATCAGTCAAACGTCTGATGGCTCGCGTTCGGGTCGTAACCAAACGGAGAGCTGATATGCTGGCAAAGGACGAGATGGACGATATGCCACGGGATATCGCCGAGATGAAGGAAACACGGCCCAAATTCCGATTACAGAAACGCACCCCGTTGCCTACTTTTCAGGCAGAAGACGGAAGATGTGCACATGGCGTTGTTGCGAGATTGGGGAGAGGCGCGACTATAATACGGCGACTATAATACGACCGGGACGCCTAGTATCGTGATCACAGAGGAACGAATGGCTTGGGGAAAACAACCTTATGCAGCGACGAGCCGTCCAGGATGGACTCACAATCAGACACCCACCCCATCATCCTTTCGTTCCCTTTCCTACTACGATCAGGCCGGCTGATCCGACATTCATACTGCCGGCGTCTTGCGGTATGCTGGCGGCAAAACCCCCTCGAGCGCAGCCTTGATCTGCAGGGCCAAAGTCCGCGAATGCCACCGGTGCTGCTGCGAATACCCGCCCATGACCCAATAGTTCTCCATGTGCAGGTGCCTCTTCCACATGCCGCGGATCTCGCCCTCGGCGTCAACGCCCCAAGTGGCGTCGATACGAGCGGCGATCTCCCGGGGACCGAGTACACCCTCGCCCTTCCCGGCGTCCCCGCCGACATTGTCCGAGTCGGACACATCGCTGCCGCCGCCGCCGCCGAGAATCTCGGCAGCCACGTCGCGTAGATTCCGATCCGCGTACCCCGTGCACCAGATGACGGCATCCGCGTCGGCCGTGGTCCCATCGGAGAAACGCAACCCCGTCTCCGTGAAGGCGACAGGCTCCACCAGAGCCTTGATGCCCACTTCCCCATCCTCGATGAGCTTGGCGCCGCCGACGTCGACGTAGTGGCCCCCCGAGCGGCCGATCAGGTTCTCCATGAGCACGCAGTCCTTGTCGCGGCTGTCGAGCACGGGGAAGCCGGCGGCGGCGAGGGCGTCGTAGCGCGTCGGCTCGGCGGAGGCCCACGCCGCCAGCATGTCGCGGGCGAAGGCGGCGTCGATGAAGGTGGGGAGCGTGAGGAACATCCTGTCGGCTTGGTCCGCGGGGAGGATGTCGTAGATGCCCAGGCCGCGTTGGTCGGTTACGTAGGACTGGGGCACGATGTAGGTGGGGGAGCGGACGACTATGGTGGATGCGAGGCCTGCGGCGTGGCAGTCTTGGAGGACGTCGAAGGCGGTGTTGGCCGAGCCGACGATCAGGACGGACTGAGATGGATGGAGATGGGGTTAGATGCACGGGTATGATGGGCGGTGGATGTTGACCACTTGGGGCATGTGGGTGATTCTCACCTTTATCCCTCTTTCTTTCAGCTCATTGGCGTTCTTGTACAGCTCCGAGTGGAAACTGGTCCCCTTGTACAGGTGCTCATCCGCCATCTTAGGGAGGTATTTCTTCTGCGACGACACGCCAGACGCTTGGACGAGATGTTTCGCAACGGCGGTACGGCCCCCCTCTGGTGTCTGGAACTTGACGGTCCACCGTTTCGTCGAAGGGTCATAAACGGTCGACTGGATGTTGGCAGAGGTGATGACGTTGAGGTTCAGAGCTGTCACGTATCTTCGGACTTGCTCGGCAAGGTCGTCTCTTGACAGGAGGTGGGGGCTGTGAACTTCTTTGGGATACTCTGTTTTCGAACAGGATATCAGCGTCAAGGACATCTGAAGGGGGGGTTACATGTTATGTTTTGGTCTTACGCAGATAAGGCAGCTCGCAGAACGAGGTGACGACGTGGAACTTTAGCGAGTCGTAACGGAGGGCCCAGTTGTCTCCTACATGACGATTCCGTTCGGCCATGACGCTGTCGACGCCGAGGGCCTTGAGCCGAGCGGCCAGGGTAATGGCACTACATCGTTGGCGCGTAAGTGGACGGGCTGACAATGTAGGTCTGTATAGTTCACAGAGACTCACGCATTTCCGGCGCCGATGACGAAGACGTCTGTTTCAAAGGTCTCCAGGCCGTCGAGGTGTCTTCTCGGAGCCTGTAGTAGGCTTTCATCCTCTGCCTGCAGGTCCAGATTCTCCAACTTGGTGCTCAGAACCCAGATCTTCCATTGCAGGTCTTCGTCACTACTACCCTTGACGGGCAGGAGGATCAGTCGCCCACTACAGGTAGCGGCGGGTGAGCTTGTTCGGAAGGACAAGGCACAGTCGATGAATTGCTAATGACCCAGCGTATCGTCAGACTTTCCATGTCCACAAGAAGTGTGTCGGGTCGGGTCTCCTCTCTTACCAAAGCAGGTGTAGCCGGGATGAACACGGCACCCTCAAGTGTGAGATGGCCAGAAACACCGCGGAGCTTGGCCGTCTCCAAGAGACCCGCGGCAACGACACGCGGTGTGATGAAGGTGCGCAGATGATACGTCAACGCGAGGTTATCCTTCCAGTACGCCTGCTCGGGGAAGAAGCAGCGTTCCACGGCGGCGGCATCCTGGGCGGTCAGGGCGGCGTTGAGCTGGGCCAGCACGAGGGACGCGCGCTGGGCGGGCTCTTCGCCGGTCAGGGAAGCGGCGTCGACGGTTCCGGGCGCGATCACGGGCAAGGGATGCTCGTCTAGGCTTTTGCGAAGGTTGACTGTACGGGGATATTCCTTGTGCAGAGAAGGAGCCGCGGAAGCGGAGGGGGAGGCGGAGCGGGAGGCGGAGGATTGTTCTTCTGTGTTTTCTTTTTCCCGGACCCTTGGGTCAGCATACGCTGTACAGGGGGATGGATGGGACGAATCAAACTGGAATGCCCCGGACCAGCTTCCGAGCCGTGGACTTACCGGCAGTCATGATTCGATTTGGGGTTTCTGTTGGCCAGGGGTGAACGTGTCTGGGCTGTACGGAGCATGTACGACGTCTGTATGTCAACGTTTGGATGAAGACCCTGGGCGCAGAGAAGTCGGTGTGAGAAGAAGAATTACAGTGTATGTACGAAAAGGGTGGGTGGTAGCGATGCAGACGCAGATGCAGATGCTGACTTGCTGGGTCGGCACGGGACAAAAGGTGCACATTGGGGATGCGACAGCGAATCTACATATAGAACGGGGGCCGCCAGACTCTCAGGGCAGCCAGCACTTTCAACTTTTAGGGGCAAGCAAGGGAATTCCATGTGTTATCATTAGCTATTACATACTCTTTTCTCTTTCCCCCATGGAGCCACGGACTTGTCCTGTAGTGAGTGGGTGGTATTCTCCGCTCGGACTAGATCATGAGGCTCTTGACCAGGCGTCTCGGGTGGGATGATGGGAATAGAAGAAGAAGGGCCTGGTTGTTGGAGGTTGATGGGGATTTGGATTAATGAGGAGCACTAGGTATAAGACCTGCAGTGCAGAAACCCCTACGCGACACAATACTGCGGTGACTGTGCTGTATGACTGCATTAGCCTCTTGGCGAACTTCTGACATGTCATTCCCAGTGTCATGGGGTTGGGCCCTGCTGTGGGTGCATGGAAAGGGAAAAGCAATGCGGTGGAGTCACGGGTTCCGGATGACATCCCGGGTCCGGGATCCGGGGTCCACCCTCCGAGACCCACCGTCCGGGATCCGGGGTCCGGACCCCGGATTCTCAGCGACGAAGCATGGATTTCTTGCCTATCACCCGCTCGGTCCCCTCTACACGAGTGCCTCAGAGCAATTTTGGGGGCATGGTAAAGACCACGGTACGGTCCGGCATATCGATCCTATTACAATAGGTTTGTTCTTTTCATGCAGCGGCTTTTCTTGGGCCTTATACTCCTCGACGTACATCGTCTCTGTAATGTCAAGTGGCTTTGGCAAATTGACATAGTGCCGTATGAGGAGCCCATTCATCAACACCCAACATGGAGTACGGATAATTACTTGCTGATATTTTGAAATGGCCTAGAATCTGCATGTGGCCTCCTCTCACGTTGCTTTTCCCAGTATCGTACACATGCATTCTCATTCTCCTTGGTCAAGGTCAGGGTTTGATGCAAGCCAAGCATATCGATTGAAACACTTTAATATTACTCCGTATGAGTGTTCAATTTTTCTTTTCTTTGGGGGAGAGAGCCTGGACTCGTCCTCCGCCAACATTGAAAGCTCATCAGGGGCGGTCCCCAGTCGATTTCATGGACCATAATTGGCTTCCCGACCAAAACATCCCGGCTGGCTGGACATGGTCAACTCATTGGTCGTCCAAGCATTCCGGACTCGATTCCGCGGCACAAGCCAAGGCCCGAGGACGCTTAAAGTGAGAGAGGGGGAGGAAACAGAAATGATCATCGCCCTGTTTTCTCCTTTCCGTGTTCTTATACCATGTACGAGTAGTTATACAGGGTTCTTTTTTTCTCTTCTTTTCTCTTGTTTTCTCTTGTTTTCTCTTTTCTTCTTCTTTTTATATCACATATCGTTTCTTCTCAGAAGGGGTCCAGGGCTTGCCCCCGAGGCACGAGAGAGAGAGAGATTGGGGACTGGTGATAGGGCTGGTGATGGCTTGACCGGCGAAGCGAAGCCGCTTCATCTTTCCTTGCACGGGTTGTTCCCAATTATCACATGCCTGCCTCTTCGGAGGAGACACGCCATATAATATAAGGATCAAACTCCTTTCTGCTCGGTGAGCCGGCGTCACGAACGCGTCACGAGCTCACCGTAACGAGTTGTTGTTTCGGGGAAGCATCGGGAAGCATCGGAATCATCACTTACGCCTACCGTTTTACGACGCGACGGCATCATGTCCATGACGCAGGAAGAACTCGATGCCCTGCTGGCTGCGCCGGCTCTGGCGCCCCCGGAAGGAGAGATACCCAACTTTGATAATCCGCCCAATCGAAACGGCCTAGCTTGGGGTGTCACCACTCTTTGTATAGTCATTACGACTCTGTGTCTTCTTCTACGAGCCTATGTCCGGGTGTGGAGGGAGAAGAGGATACACAAGGAAGAAGGTGAGTGGGAGAAGAAGAAGAAGAAGAAGAAGAAGAAAAGAAAAAGAAAGAGGGAAAGAGGAGACAGAAAGAGAAACGCTGGTCCGCCCTTCTAACACGTCCCTTTTTGCCAGTCTTGATGATCTTGGCTTACGGAGCCCTCTGGGGCACCGCTTACGCCGCATACGGCATGATCTATGCGCCCGGCTACTACGTCCATCAATGGCATCTGACCAACGGTGACCTGGTCCGGCCTCTTTGGGTGAGTCCCCTCGTTCTCTTTGTGCATGTGCCCTTCACTCCCTGCCCGCTATGTCGAGGAGTGAGAACTAACCAAGAGTCCCCCCCCAGCTCATCCTCGTCTACGGCTGCTGCTACTCCGTCGTCCTCCCGCTCATCAAGACCGCCATCCTCCTCGACTGGTGCCGCGTCTTCATCTCCATCGACAAGTACAAGAGCCCCTTCTGGTGGTCCTGCATCATCCTCAGCGTCTTCCAGTGCCTCTGGGGCCTGGCCTGCGTCATCCTCCTGAACCTGCAGTGCCGCCCCCACCGCGCCATCTGGGAGTTCTACATCCCCGCCCAGTGCTACGCGCTGCCCAGCGTCATGCTGGGGTCGGGGAGCGTGCAGGTCGCCACCGACGTGCTCATGGTGCTCCTCCCGCAGCGCATCATCTGGAAGCTGCAGATGAACTGGCAGCGCAAGCTCGGCATCTCCGTCATCTTCGGCGTCGGCCTCATTGCCTCCGTCGCCGCCTGCGTCCGCCTCGCCCACACCGTCACCTTCGCCCACGAGCCCGACAAGATGTACTTCATCGGGCCCCTCCTCTTCTGGGCCTGGGGCGAGATGGCCGCCGGCTTCTTCATCCTCAGCGTTCCCTGCCTCCCCAAGCTCGCCGCCGCCTCGTCCCTCCCGTCCAAGGTCCGGTCGCTCCTCGGCCTGAGTTACGGGTCCAAGAGCATTTCCGCGAGGAACTCGAACCCGCTCGTCACCATCGGCGGCACGGGGGGTTCGAATAAGAAGCACCATCTGGTCAAGTCGACTCTGGGCACGGATACCTACCACGAGATCGAGGACGGGGTCGCCCTGGGCTCCGAGTCGCAGGAGCATCTGCGTCAGGAACAGGAACACGGCTCGGGCTTGCATCCGGCCAGGGAGGACGAGCGCGCCATTCACGTCACGCACTCGACGCGGGTTATAGTGACGAAGAAGGATTCTGGGAGCGATCTGAGCGAGAATCTCACACCGTGGACAAGGTGAGGCCGGCGTTTGTGTGTGTGTGTGTATTACTACGTACAGCATCAAGTATTGACAAGTTGAAGCCATTTGATCCTTTGCAAGTGATTCGCCCTCATGTTCTTCGTAGTCCAAGGGGGTCTTGTGAAGTTGTGCCATTATATAATCCCCCCCCCCAACATCCTGAGCGTCGCTTCTCTGCCCATAATCTGAGTATATCCCCCTTAATCATCTCCATGTCGGCTATCGAGAGACCGAAGAAACCGACTTGCTTCAACAGAAGGGCACGACAGGTCTATCAACTTTGGCAGAGTTGCAAGACAACATGATCCTTCACTTCTCACCGTTTTACACCAACTCAACCACAGGAATTAATCTTATTCCCTTTCCACGCAACCGCCCCAATACTGTCTACGTGCTGGCAAGCTGCCGTGGCATCTATCTCCTCAAGTGTAGACAAGGTTCCACGTCCATCGCAGGGCTTATCCTCCATCCTCCGGCCCCCCTGACAATGAGTCTCTAAATGAAACTACCAGTTTGACTGCCGAGACATCTCGACTCGCATAATCTATTACATCGCTATTGTATTCCAGTCCATGGACAGGACTCTATTAGCGTAGGTGACACATAGTACGCCGGAAAAGTCCCTCCTATCCTTCGCCTATACGCGTGCTGCCCCATGCCTCTCTACGGCTTCCTCGCGGCATCGCCGCACCGCCAGCACAAGCCATGCAACCGTCCTCGGCCAAGCACCTCAACTCCATCAAGCCTTTTATGGTCCCGACTTTAGGTATATATATGTACGTACAGGGACCTTGCCAATACCCGCGCGGAGTAGGAGGTGAGGATCTACTCGTTGACAACCATTTCCTTGTAGCAACATGTCGATCCAGAAGGATCTACATCAACATCTGGACGGAGGGTCAGCACAGAAACTCACAAACATCGTAGTCTGGCCAATGCACTTACACATTGATCGTCGGCCTTGCCCTGGGGAATGCCCATCTCTTCGAAAGTAGAAGGACCTTGTTTACCTGGCTTGGGTGCTGACGCCGGTTGTGCCTGCGGCTGCGGACGGGGCTGTCCACTGGGCGGCGCACTGTTCATTCGACCAGGACCAACGACTGGCTCTGGCCGAGCACTCGCAGGCCGGGGTCCTGTGCTTGCCGGCATGGAATCGTACCGATCCGGCCTGACTGAGCTGGGAAGACCAGGCCCAGGCCCAGGCCCATGCCCAGGTCCAGGTCCAGGTCCAGGTCCAGGCCGAGATCCGGGTCGTGGGCCATAGTCCCGACCAGGCTGTCCTGGTGGCGTCGATTGCGCCGACTCGCGCGGCGGCTGTCCATAGCCTGGCCCGGGCCCCGGCCCATGAGGACCGGGGCCTCCAGGATGGGGTCGACCATATCCGCCCGGGCCCGGCTTCTGCAGCTTGTTCGATGCGGGGTGGCCAGCAGGACCACCTGGCCCGCCTGGTCCGGCGTAGGGCTGCGCAGTGGCCGGCCTTGGAACATCCTGACGGGGATAGCCCGGCCCAGGACTGGGTTGCCTATACCCTCCGGGTCCTTGGGACATACGGCCGCGGGGATCGGGTCCAGTCGGGGCAAGATTGGCCATCGACTGAGACGGACGAACGCCGTCGTTCGGGTAAGGCCCACGACCGTTACCCCCTCCACCCGAACTCAGCGGCCGGATTCCAAATGCACTCGACGGTCGGTCGGCTTGCGGTCCGTACGGACGCAGGCCGCCACGTCCTGAGGCGACATCGTCCTCCGGATAAGGAGCTGTCGACTGGGACCGGCCGCCGTGGAGAGGCGCGGGCCGGTCATCCTGAGGGTAAGGGGCAGCCGACTTGGGTCGCACCGCGAGATTGGCTTCGACGTTCAGCCCGAACGCGGGCCGACCCTGTACCGAGGCACGCGATGGGTCGGGAAGATGGACATTGTCCTGGACGACGGTCGGCTGGTGCCTCGGCGAAGGGTGAGGGGACACTCTCGGCGACGGTTGCCTGTCTACGGGCGTCGTCGGGCCGCTTTCGGTCAAGGTCGGCATGGCCTTGGATTGCTTCAGGCGCTCCGGTCTCTTGCCGCGCTGCGAGCCGTGCGTCGACTTGATCCTCGTCAGTGTGGTCGTCTCGTGATCTTTCTTCGTCAGACTCTTGGAGTCCTTGAGCGACTCCAGGCGGCCAACGGCATCCTTGTTGCCATGCTCGGCAGCAAGCTCGTACCAGTAGGCGGCCTGGCGCAGATCCTTGGAGACGCTGATGCCGATTTCGTGGTAGTAGCCCATAGCGAACTCGCCCGTGGGCAGCTTGGCGGCGGCGGCCTCCCGGGCGTACTTGAAAGCCAGCTGCTCGTTCTTGTGAAACACGCCCTCGTACCCGAAGAGGAACCAGCGGCTGACGCCGAGGGACGCCTCGGGTTGACCTTGCTTGGCCGCAAGGCCGTAGTAGTGAATCGAGTAGGCCGGGTTGAAATCGCAGCCAAGCTGGCACAGCTCATAGGCCTGGCCCATCTTCAGCTGCGCCTTGGCAAAGCCGAGGTACGCCGCCTTTTCGAGATACATCTTGGCCATAGCCAGGTCAACAGGCAGGAAGGCATCGGGGACGCTGATTTCGGGCAACTCCCTCGACAGCAGGAGGCCGAAGACGTACGCGCCTTGGGGGGCATCCTCGTCGGCCGTGTCGGCGGCCTCGTTGATGAGCTGCAGACCGCGCTGGAAGTCCTTGGGCTGGCCATGTTGGCCGAGCAGGCTCATCATACCGAGACGATAGGCGGCGGCCGAGTCCTTACTGCGGAGGCCGACGAAATAGTGCTCGATGGCCTTGTTGAAGTCGTTGGAGCTCTCAAAGAGCATACCCATGCGATACTCGGCGCGCCCGTACCCGAGACCAGCCGCTCGCTTGTAGCCGGCGTACGCCTCCTTCTTGTCCTGCCGGACGCCAAACTTGCCAAATTCGTGCCACTTTGCCTTCATGAAGAGGGCTTCCGGATGTTCCTGGGAAGCGAGGTACTCGACAATGTTGATGGCATCTACGCGCAAGGTGTGCTCGACATGCGGGGTTTGTGGCCGGGGTTGGCCGTCCGAATTCCTCGCCGCGGCCTCCTGCACGATGTCGATCCACGCAAGTGTATCACGGGCCCAGGCGAGTTGCATCGAGACATTGTTCGAATGCAGGACGTGCTCCCTGGCGTTCCACAAGATTTCTTCCTTTTCGTCGTCGCTCGGTGGGATGTTGTCTCCCTTCACCCTGGGAAAAGGCGAGAAGGAAGGGGCATCGCTGGAGCTCGCCATGGTGGCTGAGGATGTTTTTGGAGGGATGTATGACGGCGCGGCGGGACCGACTTGACGAGTGCTGTCGCCTTTGGAGGAGTTGGTGGCAAGGGTAGAAGATCGGGACTGGCCCTCGAATTGATCGCTGTAGACGCTCGTCGGTGAAGTGATGTCGTCTGCGTTTGCGGCAGGACGGGACGTGTTTCCGCGGGCTTCGAGTTCCATTCGTTGGAGATCGTCCTGCATGTTCTGAGGAACCTGAGGCGTCACGCTGTACAAACCCAAGATGCCATCAGTTCGTGTGTCTGTGGTTTAGAAGGCGCCACGAGAACTGCTTGTTTTCTCGGAGAATCCGAGGGGTGATTTTGATTTTCTCCCCTCCAGCGGAAACACTGAATTGACGAACGAGTGGCAGGAGCGAAGAAAGCAAAGGAGAGGTTCAAGGAGGGGCGGAGGGTTCAGGGAACGCAAGCAGAAGAAGGAAAGAAAACATAGCAGGGAAAGGAAAAGAACAAGAGGAACAAAAAGGAAAGAAAAAGGAACGGGCACAGGGGGAATACGCACCGCTGAGGTGCAGGCGCAACGACCTCCGGCATGTAGTAGTCATCGGTACCACTCGGGACGAAGGTCGCGGCGAATTGGGGCATGTTGCTATCGTGGACTGAGGGGGCGGATTCCTGCGGCTGAGAAGGCTTTCGCGGGTGAGAGTCTGCATAAATAGATCGGACTGGTCAGTGCGGCTGCGGATACTACGGGAGGTAAGAGGATAGTGGTAGGTAGGTAGGTAATAATAAGCGACAGCCGGGAAAGGTCTTTGGCGCCTAAAATGGTGACCGAAGAGGATATTGTTCTGTCAAGAAATGGGTGGTGGGCTGTCGACGCCCAAAGATTGAATGCTTCGAAGAGCGTCTTTCCGGGCAGCACCGTACCGTACCGTTGGAGAGGAAACCTGACAAGGCAGAGAGACCAGGAACGAGAGAGAGAGCAAGTGAGGAAATGGGGGGGGGTGAAGGAGCAAAAGGAAGACCCCTCAACTGGGGACCGCGAGCGGGGGCAAGAACCGAAGGCAAGCGAATGGCGTTGACGCAGGTTTTTGAGGCCTAATAACCGGTAGAGTGCAAGAGCATGAGGGGAGAAATAAAAAGGACGATGCGACCGATGCGCAGGGTCCGAGACTCCCAAGGTTGTAGTAATGTAGTAAAACTCCGTACTCCGTAGGTAAAAAAAGAGAACATCTTGGCTTTGTCTTGTTTGCATGTAATAACGGACGTGCTCCAACGAGCCACCTCGTGGCGCCCCTTTGCCAGCACGCACACCCACAGGTTGAAACGGAGGGAACGGTTCGGTGGAGGTTGTGGGTAGACCTCGCCAGGTTCAGGGGCCACAATATTGGCGGTGGAGGGGCTTAGAAGAGGGGTTCTGTTCTCTCACGCCTGTCGGAGTGCGGCGGTGGCGGTACGTTGTATATAATTCGTTATTTTAGCGACCGCTGGGACCACCATCTCCACAACGCCGTCCGTGCCTCTGCTTGGTAGCAATTGACGACTCTGTCGGTGATCGATCCATACCGCGGCTATTGCTGCGCCCAACTCCAACTCGTATTGGGGGCGGTAGATGCAGCCCTTCAACACATCCCTTTCCTCTTTATTGTGTCCTGGCCTCGGATTCTTGCTTGCCCTGTCTTGCTCGTTTCCTTGCGTCTCTCGTGCTCGTCTCTCGTTTGTCGTCTCTCGCTCCAACGGTACAAGTGCCCGGAATGCAAAACAACCGACTTTCAAGAGGCATCCTCTTGCAGTATCCGACTTTCGACTGGTAAAGTGCGGTGCAGGGATCGGCAAGCAGCCAACTTACAACTAAAAGGGGATGAGGACCACGCTGGAACGCCTGCTCCGGCGGAGCGGGTATACGGCCCTTGGTGGTAGCCCATCATAGCCGCGGGAAATAGAACAGTTCTCCTGTGTTTATCGTGGAAAGATCGAGTGTAAATTCGTACAAGGAAGCAGGTGATGATTCTTATTGTCGCGGGTGGACAATAATGTGTGGTATATTCGTCGGTAAATGGATTATGTCTGCGCAATTACGTCCATGGTCCATTAAGTGATGAGGCAATGGAAGAGATGAGAGGAGAGTCAGACAGATAGATATGGAGACGGTGAGGCGAAGACAAAGAAACAGGAGCGAAGGCAATGACGAGGGGGGGTCTAGGAGGAGAGGAAGAAGAAGGAACTACGGAGGGAGACTAAAAGGTGAGGTGCTCAGTAAGGTACCTTACCTACCTACCTAGGTACCTTAGGTACCTAGACACAGGTCACAAAGTTTTGTTACCTGGTACGACAAGCAAGCCGTTCGAATCGAGGTCACGAGATTAAGAACGACTGGCTATCATCATCGCGTCACGGATGAAAGGAGTACCTTGGATGTCAGCCTCGCAGTAACACATCGAGGTCACGTAGGTGAGCACCTAAGGTACCTACTAGGTAGGTACCTTAGGTAGCTACGAGTGTCAGTGTTTTAGTGCCTGAACTCTTTCCCTGTGCCTGTGTCACGATACCGGCAAGAGCAGGAACATCAGATGAACATCATGGAAAACGCAGTCGCAGGTACTGCGCATTTTGGTGCTGGAGAATGGAGATGACCCCTAGGGTACCTACTTTGTACAAAGTATAAGGTAGATACCTAGGTATTCATCCCCAAGTCAAATACCAGCGACAAATGATGGATGAAAAAGGTACTAAGGTATGGCCTGAGCAGGGAAACACTTTTATAAGTATAGGTAGTCAGATCTAGGAACGAAGAGGAAGAAAAAGCCATGCACTACTCCAACTTGGTCATGTCAGTTCCAATCGCTGGATACTTACTCCGCCGTTCTTCGCAAGCAAGGCATCAAAAGCCATATACAGTACAGACGGGAGCTATCATGGATGCAGGATCGCATCGTGACACTCGACGTCAAGACGAACAAGGGTATGGAGATCCTCGCGTGTCAGTTCTGTTTGTTTCTACAAATAGACGGCGCTATGGGTTAAAGGTCCCCATAATAAATTGTGCCGTGTGCCGAGAGAGTGTTGTGTCTCTAAGAAGGAAATGCGTGTTACGGTCAAACGCTGCGCCACTCCCTCTGCTTGTTTCGAACGTTTCTAATTTTGAACGGACGGAGGCAACCCGCGTTGTAATAATAAAGAGAACCCTGACGAATTCAAGAGCGCTAGGAGTGTGACCTTCTCCCACTGATATGACACCGATATGAGAAGATGCGGTCACAGCAACATAATTCGATGCGATCATACCCACATGCATCGGAGTCATCACTACCCAAGGTAGCGAGGTAGAAAACTACGAGTATCATCCAGGAAGAGGGTCCCATGAACTCCGTAGCGATAAGATTTCGAGATGGCTAATCACGTGACTCTGCTTACCAATTTCCAACGCCATGGTCCCACTTGGTTCACTCCCCGTGTGTACATAGACTCCCTGCGTCAGCATCTCTCAGCCTGGTCAAGCTGGCAATCTACGAATACCTCCCATACAACAAAGCTTCATGTATTGACGGATAGCAACCATCTCTGACGATTTTTTTGTACATCCTCTCAACTCTGGCTAAGGGCATAGGCAGTTCAACTCCTTCTCCATACCTGCCTCTCGACCTAATAAAGTCTTGCCAAAAGAAACCAATCTCGACAATCAACATCGAAGAACCACTCTCGCCTCCCTCCACAGCCCCAACCGCCGCCATGGCCGACCGCACCCTCCAACAAATCCTCACCCAGCTCAAAACCCGGGGCCCCTCCCTCTCCTACGCCGACTCCCTCGCCCTCCTCTCCAAAGCCAAGCTCACCCTCCTCCAGCTCCACGCCCTGACCCCGTCCTCCTCCACCCCGGCCCACCTCCTCCCCCTCGCCCGCGAGACCTACGAGCAGGGCGCCCTGGCCTCCATCCGCGCCCACGACCCGGACGCCTTCACCCACTACGTCCAGCGCCTGCAGCCCTTCTACGAGCTCCCCGCCGACGTCCTGCCCCCCAACGCCCCCGAGCGCAACAAGGTCACCGGCCTCTACCTCCTCCTCCTGCTCACCGAGGGCCGCTACGCCGAGTTCCACTCCGAGCTCGAGTCCCTCGCCTGCCGCGACTCGGGCGGCGACGAGACCGACCGCTACCTCGGCTACCCCATCCGTCTGGAGAGGTGGCTCATGGAGGGCAGCTACGACCGCGTCTGGAAGGCGATCCAGAGCCGCGAGGTGCCTTGCGAGGAGTACGGCGTGTTCTCTGAGGTCAGCATTTCCCCTCGTGCCTCGTGCCTCGTGCCTTGTGCCCTTTGCTTTCTTCTTCCGCTTTCCCGTGTCTTCCATGAGGAACTATCATTATCATCGTACTGACTGAACTGTATTTCCTTTTCCGCGAAACAGATCCTCACCAGCCAAATCCGCTCCGAAATCGCCTCCAGCAGCGAACGCGCCTACCCAAGCCTACCACTGAGCTCCACCAAGTCCCTCCTCTTCCTCGACTCCGAGGGCGCCGTCGTCGAGTTTGCCCAGCACCGCGGCTGGGTCGTCCGCGACGGTCACATCTACTTCCCCGACCCCGCCGAGGCCGGCGACGACGAGAGCGGGCGGCAGCAGAAGGAAGTCAGCAAGATGATCATCGAGAATACCCTGGGCTACGCTCGCCAGTTGGAGACTATTGTCTAGGAGCTTACCTGTGGGAAGGGGGCGGGGGCGTCGGAGGAGAAAGAGAAAGGGACACGGTGCATGACTTAGCGTGTTGTATTAATATCTAGACCGCCGTCCTGGATGGCAAGAGAAAATACAGGTTTCTCAGACGTTGTGGTCTCTCAGACGTTGTGGTCTCTCAGCCATCGTACGGATACATTTCCTAAAACTGGCACCTCAGTGAGGTATTGACAAGCAACATAACGTTCACACTTATTTTCAACATGCGGCAACAATGCTATGCAAAGTCATTTTGCATCTCAAACAACACTCAAAAGGCTACAATATACACATCACCGCCACTTGCATCCCCAGGATATATCATGAGTATTGAAATATTCACCTCAATTTCGTCCTGCTTGCATCGTGACGGTACTCAATGACAACATGACTCCGGGACATGACTCCAGGACGTCTCACAAAACAGTGCAATCACTCATCTCTAAGGTTATTTTCTCCTTGTGGTCCCCCCTATCCCCCAGTCTTTTCCTTCGACCATTCATGCATCTGCCTCTGCCTCTGCCTCGGTGGCCACCCCTTGACCCCGAACACGAACACCCTTCTAGCCATTACGCGAAAAGTTTCAACCCGCTGCCATGCTTGCCAATCTCACAGACCTCACAGACCCTGCAGACGCTTCCCTTGTACTTGGTGTGGTACTTGGAGCCGTCAAAGGCGCACTCCTCGTACGAAGTGCCACTGTAGATGGGTGTGTAGCTGGCCGCGCAGATCTCGAACTCGGCAAACTGGTCGAACTCGATCTCCACGGCATCATGGGGGTTGCGCTCGCATTGCGCCTTTGTCTTCCTGGCCTGTTGAGGAGGGGCCAAGTCAGCACTTTCCACACACCACCAGCAATCTATGAAGAGGAAAAAAAGGAGAAGAAAAAAGGACAACTCACATTTTCAAGGATCTTGCTCGCGCCACCGTTGGCAATAATCCTGTTGGCAAAGCTCAGGGCCGAGTTATAGTTCTTGTTCCGCAGCGCCAGGTGCATGGCGCTCAGAAGAGCCAGTTGCCTATGCGGAACCTCAATCTTGGGGATCGTGAAGTAAGCCGAAAGCTCCAGGCTGCGCTTCAGCTTCTCCGGGTCTTGGGCAACGACGTCCGGAGTGCCCAGGTTTCTCCGGCTGAGCTCGATGCCCATCGCCACGGTGTACTCGCTGGCCGAGGCGATGAGCTTCTTCGCCTCGTCCACTTCGCTTTCGCTGGAAACGGCGTTCACCAGAATGGCGTGCAGGATGCCCTTGAAGATCTTGTAACCGTCATCCAGCCTGTTCGCCTTCATCGCGTCGTAGCCCCTGTGGAGGTCATTCGTGGCGAGGAACTCCAAGTCGCGCGGCACAATGGGAAGCACCTTCCTGAGGTCTGTCTCGTCGACCGTACGACGGACGTAGTTGACAAGAGGGGGCAGCCCGGCCGAGGCGGGCAGGAATGTCCTCGAAGCCTGGTACACCTCGAGGAACCGAGGCTTCAGCGGCGCAAAGTGGACGGCGCCCACCTGCCTGTTCAGGAGCTGCATGGCCGTCTCGAAGGATCCGCCGGCGACGTGATCTGCCGCTATCGGCGAATTGCGAGCCCACAGCTCCGCCTCGCTGCTGCTGGCACCGCCGGCTTCTGTGCTCTCAACGTTGACAAAGTCGCTGTCCACCTCGGGGACGACGTCCTCGCCCATATCCCAGCCTGCGGCATCTTCGTCGACATCCGCATCGACCAGACCGACATCCCGCTTGGTGGGGCCCTCATCGTCAGCGGCCTCGTCCAATCCAAAGCCGTTCGCTCCAGCTGCATCGTCCTCCAACGAGAGACCCTCTACCTGCCCGAGGAGTGCCTTCTCAAAGATCGATTGCGACGTCGCCTTCGTCGGCCAGTTGGACTTGTAAGTAGGCACGACGGGTTTGGGTGGAGTCAAGGGCTCGCCGATGGTGGGCATGGTCAGCTGGTCCTCGGTGAGGCCAGTGGCTTCGAGAATGGACTGGCATTCCTCCTCGAGGCCATTGGACTTGGCAGTCATATACGCCAATGGGTCTACATGTTGTCAGCAATTAAGTCATTTAGGACAGGCAGTGACAAAAGAAAAAGAAGAAGAAGAAGAAAAAAAGGCACATTGTCACACTTACAAAGGTCAATCTCTTTGAACATCTGGATCCTGTCCTCGACCTCGCCGAGGTACAGCGCATTCTGGAAGCGGGATGTGAAGTCTCCCCGGTGCTCGGCAATCTTCGCCATGCGCGACAGCTTGGAGTGGTCGCCCGTCGACAGGTAGAGGAAGGAAAGTTTGTCGAACTGCTTCAGTTTCTGATAGCACATCTCGACGATTTGGTGATTGCCGTGCGCCAAGGCCTCAGCGGCCAGTCTCGACCACAGCTTGGGGCGGTCCAGCTCCTTCGCCATCTCCACGGCAACGTCGAGGTTGCCGCATTCGATGGCCAGCTCGAAGCGGGTGGTCGGGTCCTGAACGAACTGCAGGGCAATCTCGGGATACCCCTTCTTCTGCAGGTAAGCGATGATGGACTGGCCCACGAGGCTCGAGTTTCGGATGATGTGAAGCATCTCCTCGTAGTTTCTCTTGACGAGCGCAAGCTTGAAGCGATACTCGGTGGGGTCGATTTGGAGGATCTTGGGCTTGGCTGTGCGATCCAGGCAGTAGAGGTTCCGGCCCTTGGCGCGAACAAGGTAGACGGTCTGTTCCAGAGTACGCACGATGCCGTTGTCCCCGTTCATGAGAGAATACTTGACGTGGTTCAGGGTGGAGTAGAGCAGGACGCCCGTGTCGTCCCATGTTGCGCTCTTGATTCTGATGGTCTCGTGCAGGGTGCTGACTTGTTCGAGCGTCTTGGTGACGATGGTCACGTTGTGCTTGCTCAAAAGTGCGGCATAGAGTCCGTCGTTGGACCACACAACGTACTTGACACCGGCGACGGCGAGCTCGGCCACGCTCTTCTTCTGCTGGATGTCGTAGAGGTGGACGTGCGTGGGGGTGAGGATCAACAGGTTGCCGGTGCCGCCAAAGTAGATGTCGGTTGTGCCGACTGGCGGTTTGAAAGACCGCGTCGTGCTGTTGGACAGATCCTTGATATCGATGACCTGGGTCGACGTGTTCAGGACGGCAAAGCGATTTCTGGCGACAAAAATGGCGGAGTTACCGGATCCGCGCTTCGACTCGGTGGGTTCGATGGCGCCGGAGCCGTCTCGCGGGAGGTTGATGAGCTCATAAGAGGCGTTGTCGCCGGCCGAAGTCACCAGAATCGATCGTTCGGCAGGGTTGTAGGACAAGGTACGGGGAGGGCTCCAGGGGCTGCCAAGCTTCTTCAGGGACAGAAGCGTGGGGCTGTCCATGTTCTTCTGGAAGTCGTAGGACTTGACGTGCTTCTCCTTGGTGATGTAGAAGAGGTTGTTCTGGTACACGGCAGACGCAGGCCGTTCGCGCTCGAGTTTGAAGACCATCACGCCATTATCGTGACCAACAGCGAACAGGTTGATCTCCGGATGGGCGGCAATGACCCAGAATCTGTCGTTCTCTCGCTTAAAGGTTTGGACAGCAGTCCTCTTGTTCAGGTCCCAGACGCGAATGGTCTTGTCTTCGCCGACGGAAAGGATCAGATCTTGGTGCGGGTGGAAGAGACAGCTCGAGACGTTCTGGAAATGACCCCGGCAGGTATCGACCTCCCAGGCCTTGGTCTCGCTCATGCGCCAGAGCTTGACGAGACGATCATCGCCGGCGGAAACAATAAGCGGCATGGTGGGGTGGAAGGCGACCCAGTTCACACCTCGGTCATGGCCTTCGAGGACGAATTTGACGACGGCATCAGTGTTACCGAACATATCAGCCTGGTTCTGATTCGCACGGGCGACCTGGTCTTCGTACGTCATGGAGGTCGGGGCCGAGTGTTTCTTCCGCAGGCCGGAGATATCCCAGACGCGGACGGACTGGTCGAGCGAAGCGGAGACGACGAGATCCTCTTTGGGATGGAACTGGGCGCACATGGTGTAATGGTTATGACCGGTCATGGTGCAAACTAGAAGCAGAAAAGTCAGCCGACAGTGCGTGCATTGGCAATAGGGGGAGAAAGAAGAATAATAAAAAAAGGACATACTCAAGGAGCGGTTCTGCCAGTTCCATATTCTGATGGTCTGGTCATCGGAAGACGAGAGAATCCAGGGCAGCTCGTGGTGGAAAAAGACGGTTCGGACGTAGTCGAGATGACCATTCAGGGTGAAGAGGCAGCGGCGTGTCTGGTACGACCAGACCTTGATCTTGTAGTCGTCACCGCCCGAGACAAAAAGGGGTTGGGTCCTGTGAAAGTCGATTCCGCGCACCGGGCCATCGTGTTCCTCGAATCGGTCAATGAGTGTTCCCATGCGATAGTCCCAAAGCTGAATCGTGGACGAGTGGAGAGCAACTAGAACCCATGTTCTAAGATGACTGTGGTCAGCAGGGTATCATTCTTTGAGGGCGAAGTAAAAGAAGAAGAAGGAGAAGAGGAGGAAAGAGAAAGAGAAGTAAGCGGCATCAGATCGTACCTCTTGGGATGGAACGCGATGCCCTTGGCACGCGACGACTTGGATTCGAACTGCGCGGAGAGTTGACAAGCATATTTCAGCGGTGGGACTCCGGATAAGAGAGGACAATGCAGCGCACCTTAGTCAACATAGTACTGCCCGAGGCCTGCATGTTGGCGGGGAGGTGAAGCCGTAGCTTCGAGCATCCAGCAGCAGGACAGGGGACACCTCAGGCAAAAGACTCGAGTTTAAGGGAGGGATAGCTGGGTCAATGCAGCTGCAGGTAGCATGAGTGAGAAAATGGAGAATGGCAAGGGTGAGAATGAAGAGGAGGAAAGAGGAAGCTTGCTGGTGATGCCAAGGAGGGATGGTTGAAAGGCCACTTTCAGGATGCAGTGTTCGTCCTCGGGGGCGGTTGATACGTTTAGGTAGGCGATGATGGTAACGGGAGTACGAAGTAGTAGCAATTCCGCTTCGTGGCCATCTCCAAACTGTGGGTTGCTGTGGGTTGCTGTGGGTCGCGTTCCTGACATGTCTGTGGCTACAGAGGCCAGCACTTGGTACGTACCTACTCGGGTCAGTGTTATTCCAGTTCCGAGTCCTCACCGCCTACTTTACCTTTTGCCCCTCAGCTTTGACCAGTTGTTCTGCGGTGAGAGAATGACACCCTGAGCTTTTAGGTACCGGTACCTATCCGTTATCTTCCCCATATCGGCACACTAAACCATATCAGGACAGCTCGCTCGGGGGTTTCAGCAAAGGTGTTCACAAGCAACACCAGCAACAACCAACCTCGAATCCCTTGCCCCCCTCCATAATGACGACTAACACCAGGGTCGAGGCATTGCACCCAGATTACATCCACTCCGCATGATGGTTCTTTCATACGCATAACCTACATAATACCATCATATCAACAGGTGCTGATCTGCTCTGGTTAACTCGCAATCCCTGGTCACGATGAATTAATTGTTAATTGTCCCTCCTAGCCGTCTCTCTTTCGCAGCCATCCACTGGCCCAGTCTAAACCAGACAGGACGACCTCCTTGGAGGTCTGTCACTGCCCTCCGGCACCATGATACGGCTTTCCAAACTTCCATTGGGCTTTGCCCTCTCTCTCCTAGCAGCTATCCATGTTTCCGCTGTTCCTTCGGTCAACGTGGCCATGAACGCTGCATTCCCAGCTGGCCCCTACCTAATCGAGCTCTTGTAAGGCGCCCGGGGTAGTTTCCAGACAGATAGACAAATCCCGTCCTTCGTCTTGGCTAACACGTCCACTTTTACGTAGGGAGACGGCAGCCGGTGAAAACGAGACATCATACTTCCCCCTTCTTGACCGCGTGGCCAGCGGTTATTTCCAAGACGCGACATCGGACAAGGCCCTCTACGAGAAGTTCCTCGAGGTCCTCCAAGAAGATGGACATATTACAAGCACCGAAGCCCTGTCGACGTTTAAACTAAGTCTCTCCACGAGATCTGCGGCGCCACGAATCGAGGCGCACTATCAATATTACGACACTGCCATCCTTTCGCACCTGGCAGATTCTTCGCAAGACGGTTGTGACCATTGGGCTCAACTCGATGGACAACAATTCTGCTCTCCCTCGCTGGATTCTCCCCGGCCGTCGCTCCCGGGAGCCATCAAGCAACTCGCGTTCGACCGCGTGCTGGGCACCGGCAAGGATGCTATCCTCTATGCCGACCCCGCCTCCCCGTCCTTCGGTGCCATGCACGAGATCCTAGCACGGAAGGCTCGAAATGGGGAGGTCTCGTACCGCCTGCGCTATCGCAGATCCAGTGTCACGAATCTGGAGCCACTTCCTGTCAGCGGCTATGGCGTCGAACTGGCTCTGAAGAAGACCGATTACATCGTCATCGACGACAGGGAAACCGGGCAAGACGACGCCCAGAAAACCACGGGCACTGAAGTTGTGCTGGACGAAGAGGAAGAGGTGGAAGACCTCAAACCGCTTTCCACCTCGGAGCTGGGGCCTCTTGGGATCAAGGCTGCATCATTCATTCTGCGGAGCCAGGATCCCTGGGACGCTCTCCTGAAGTTGACCCAGGACTTCCCCAAATTCTCCACCTCGGTGGCGGCCCACGACGCGTCGGACGAGTTCGTCGCGGCGCATATGCAGAACCAGTTACAGGTTGCGCCGGGTGGTGTCAATGTCATGCTGATGAACGGCGTGAGGCTCAGTGACCGCCAGTTCGACGCCTTCACTTTGGTCGACAAACTCCGCCAGGAGAGGAAGCTTGTGAACAGCGTACGAGAGCTTGGTTTCTCCGGCAAGCAAGCAACGTCGCTTCTGGGCCACCAAGAAATTGCTGCCGCTCAGGCCGCTGACGAGCCCCTGAGGTTCGACTGGCGGGATGAGCAGGAAGATGGCCGCGTTATTATTTGGCTCAATGATCTGGAGAATGACGAGGCCTACAAGGATTTCCCGGCCCCTCTCCAATCTGTAAGTTGGAACATCCCCTTTCCTTTTTTTCTTCTTCTTTTTTTCTTCTTCTTTTTTTCTTCTTTTCTTCTTTTCTTTGCCTCCCCTTTCTTCTTCCATCGTTATTCCCCCGTCTTCCCAGTCTCATATCCACTAACAACTACCTTCAGCTTCTCCAGCGTACCTACCCTGGTCAGCTACCTCCTATCCGGCGGAACGTATTCAATCTTGTCGTTCCCGTGGACTTCACGCAGTCTACTGATCTCAAAGTTGTCAACACGCTCCACGCCTTCGTCCAGCGACGGCTTCCCGTCAGATTCGGACTGGTTCCCATTGCTGCTACCGAGGACAAGGCCAACCAGGCTCAAATCGTCTACCATTTACTCGAAACCTACGGCATTGACACTTTCGTCGAATACCTCCAGAAGGCCGTTGGGGATGACTCCCATCCCACCCTCAACCAGACCGCCTTTGACCTGGTCGTCAACGATGCCAAGGTTCTCCCAGACGGCGCACCGTCTTCGTTTGACCAAGTTATCCAGTCCGAGGATCTCTCTAAGCAAGTTCGATTGGCTCAACACTGGGTCAAGAGGGCCATTGCCGACACCCCTACACCTACCATGTTCGTCAACGGCCTGCCTGCGTCAAGAGATAACAGCTGGCTCCAGACCATGAGCGCAAAGATCACCGCAGACCTCAAGATTGTTCAGCAGGCTGTTTTCCGGGGCCTCGTCGGCGAAGATGACTGGGTTCCCGGCCTCTTTCTCCAAGATGCTGTGTCCCGACGCAACCCCTACATCGAAGACACCAAATCCGTGCAGGTTCTCGATGTCAACAAACTCTCCACTGACCATCGCAATCTCTTCTCCCAGATTCCTATTATTCAGGGGAATCCCGAAGCCACCAAGGAGAATTGGGCGGTCCTGACTGTCGTCCTTGACGCAACAACGGACCTTGGGAAGAATCTTCTCTTCTCTGCCCTGCAGTTCCGGCGCAATAACCCTGGCATTCAGCTAGAGGTTCTGCACAACCCGGAGGCCGGTCTACCTTCGTCAGCTATCAACCACGTCTTGAAAGAGCAACAAGACACTCTTCTCGAGGTGGAGAGCTTGGCGCAGCTCCAGCAGGTGCTCCTCCTCGATGGGGCGGAACCTGAATCTGACAACGACTATGCGGCGGCACTCGCCTCCTTCCTGTCCGCAACCGGAATTGCCCCCGGCTCCAACAAGCTCATTCTCAACGGGCGGGTACTCGGTCCCATCAACGCCGAGTTCGCCTTTGGAGAGGAAGATTTCCAGCAATTCTTCGACTTTGAACTCAAAGCTCGCATTCTTCCGGTCTACGCCGCTCTGAAGGAAATGGAGTTGACTGACCGACTTTCCGATCCCGTTGCAGCTGCCAAGCTCACCTCCATTATCGCCCTGTCCACGATCCCTGATGTACCGGAGGGCATTTTCGACTCGGGCCCTGCAACTCGAGTCAACGCGTTCCAGTCATGGGACTCTACGGCCACCTCTATGGAAGTTGGTGACGCCGAGGAAGCTAGCATACATCTCGTCGGTCTCCTGGACCCGGTGAGCGAACAAGCCCAGGCATGGGTCCCGATTCTGAAGGTCCTCTCCGAACTGGACGGCGTCTATGTGAAGCTCTTTTTGAATCCGAAGGACAACATCGAGGAACTGCCCGTGAAGCGGTTCTTCCGCTACGTCCTCGAGTCGGAACCGAGCTTCGACGAGTCGGGCAAAGTGCGTGCTCCGAGAGCGAGCTTCAAGGCATTGCCGTCGGAAGCTCTCATGACGGTTGGCATGAGCACGCCACCTGCCTGGCTGGTGTTCCCCAAAATTTCGGCGCATGATCTGGACAATATCCGCCTGAGTTCCGTCAAAGGCGACATCGAAGCCACATACCAACTGGAACACATCCTCATCGAAGGCCATTCACGCGAAGGCAAGACCGGCAACCCGCCGCGTGGTGCGCAGCTCGTCCTCGGGACCGAGGATGAACCCCACTTCGCCGACACCATCATCATGGCAAACCTGGGCTATTTCCAATTCAAAGCCAACCCGGGCATCTACAACATCCAGCTGAAGGAAGGCAGGACATCCGAGATCTACACCATCGAGAGCATCGGCGCCAAGGGGTGGACTCCGGTACCCGGAGACGAAGGGACCGACGTCGCGTTGATGGACTTCCTGGGCACGACGCTGTACCCTCGTCTCAACCGCAAGCCCGGCCAGGAAGAGGCCGATGTGCTGGAGGAACCCGAAACCGAGGGCGACGGCGGCATCATCGCCCAGGGTCTCAAGTTCGCAGAGGGACTCTTCGGGGGCGGCGGCAGCAAGTCGACCAAGTCGGTTTCGGCACAAGAGCACGCCGAGATCAACATCTTCTCGATGGCGAGCGGGCACCTGTACGAGCGCATGCTGAACATCATGATGGCGAGCGTGATGAAACACACCAAGCACACGGTCAAGTTCTGGTTCATGGAGCAGTTCCTCTCCCCTTCGTTCAAGGACTTCCTCCCGCACATGGCGGCCGAGTACGGCTTCCGGTACGAGATGGTGGCGTACAAGTGGCCGCACTGGCTCCGGCAGCAGAAGTACAAGGAGCGCGAGATCTGGGGGTACAAGATCCTCTTCCTCGACGTGCTCTTCCCCCTCTCGCTCGACAAGGTCATCTTCGTCGACGCCGACCAGATCGTCCGCACCGACATGATCGACCTCGTCCGCCACGACCTCGAGGGGAAGCCCTACGGGTTCGTGCCCATGTGCGACTCCCGCACCGAGATGGAAGGGTACCGGTTCTGGAAGCAGGGCTACTGGGCCAACTACCTCCGCGGCCTCCCCTACCACATCTCGGCCCTCTACGTCGTCGACCTGCGCCGCTTCCGCGACATGGCCGCCGGCGACCGCCTCCGCCAGCAGTACCACGCCCTCAGCGCCGACCCCAACTCGCTCTCCAACCTCGATCAGGACCTCCCCAACAACATGCAGTTCTCCATCCCCATCCACAGCCTCCCGCAGGACTGGCTCTGGTGCGAGACCTGGTGCAGCGACGAGAGCCTCGCCACCGCGCGCACGATTGATCTTTGCAATAACCCGGAAACCAAGGAGCCCAAGCTCGACCGCGCCCGGCGCCAGGTCCCCGAGTGGACTGCCTACGATGAGGAGATTGCCGCTTTGGATCGGAGGCGGAAGGGCGTGCCCCCGCCGCCGGTGGAGGCTGCGACGGGCGGGGAGGAGCAGAAGGTCGTGGTGGCGGAGGAGAAGGAGACGGAATCCGTGCAGAAGAATCCCAAGAGCCGGAACTGGGAAGAGCCGCCCTCGGCTGAGAGTACGCATAAGAGGGACGAGCTGTAGAGAGCAGCTCGGGATGGAGATGTACAAGTGTCAATGTAGATGTAGATGGGGATGGGAGTGTCGTGTGTCGTATTGTCTCAAGCAAAGCGAGTCTGACATGATATTGTGGTGGAAAAGACAATGACGGGGGAAAAAATAGAAAAACAAAATACAAACACCATCAGCATGCCGGCCATCAAGCTGAATCGTAACTGAATCTAGGACTCACATCATAGATTATCCGTATAATGGTGCGCAGAGCAATAATAGTAGCGGAGTAAATAGTTCTATAGTCATGATACTGCTGTGAATTTCGACAACGCTATGCGCACATGAATTCTAACGAGTGAATCGACCCGAATATCATTACACCCAACACCCTGTCGCCGGGCTCAGCATCTCGAACTCACCCTTTTTCCCTTTTTTCCCGTAAAGCTCGCAGCCATGTTTGCGCCTTTGATTTAAATTCGCGTCGTTGTAAAAAAGGAGGTATCGCTTATAAAATCTTGAACGATTCAAATCGAAAATCTATCGGCCGCTCGGCTGCCCGTTTCATCCATCTAATGGGATATGAACTGAAAGACAGCCGACACGTCCGACTCGCCGCACTCCTGGCGCAACAGCAAGTCCTGGATAGGAGCCAGATGCTCATTGACAAAGTGGTTCCAGGTGCTGGTGTCGCCGTAGAGCATAGCCTGGGCCTTGACAAACTGCTTCCCGTCGGGCTTGCACCGCCTGCACTTGAAAGTGTCGTGGGTGTCCGACTTGGTGCCGGGGCGGTACTGGAACAGCTCGCGGAGGCTGTCGAGGGAGAAGTGGCGCTCGACGTCCTCGGCCGAGTCGACGACGCAGCTGGACAAGCTCTGCTTGTGGCTCTGGCGCTGGAAGATCTTCTCCTCGATGGTGCCGGTCGCGATGAAGCGGTAGACGAAACAGTCCTTCTTTTGGCCGTCGCGCCACACGCGGGCGAGGGCCTGCTGGTCGGCGGCCGGGTTCCAGTCCGGGTCGAACAGGATGAGGCGGTTGGCGCCGATGAGGTTGATGCCGCAGCCGCCGGCCTTGCTGCTGAGCAGAAAGACAAACTCGTCGCCGTTGGGGTCGTTGAACCTGTCGACCAGCTTCTGGCGCTTGGTGACGTTCATGGTGCCGTCCAGGCGCAGAGAGCCGTAGGCGCGGGAGCGGCAGAGGCGCTCGAAGAGGTCGAGGGTCTGGGTGTAGTTGCTGATGAGGACGATCTTGTCGTTGGTATCCTGGCGGATGCGGGCGAGCATGCGGTCGAGAACCTGCATCTTGCCCGAGTACCACGGCTTGATATCCCTGTCGCGACCGCGGGAGGCTTTCGGCACGTAGTCATCGGGGTAGCACTCCTCCGAGCCGGGGAGGTCCTCGGGAGGGTTCAGGAGGTCGGGGTGGTTGCAGAGCTTCTTGAGGATGTTGATGGCCTTCAGCGGCTGGCTACCCTTACCACGCAGCAAAGCCTGGATCTCGGGACTGGTGATGAAATAGTTGTAGAGGTCCAGTTGGAATGGGGCGAGGTTGCAGAAGACGACGTGCTCGTATTTGACGGGGAGATATTTGGTCAGAATGTCGTTGGTCCGGCGGATGATAAACTTGTTGACGATGGCCAGGAGCTCGGCTAAGCATTCGTCGCCGCGCTTCCTCTCGGCCTCGGAGGCGTCGGCGTCGCGGCCACGGAGGATGGGAAGCTCGAAGCGTTTTCGGAATTCGAGGCGGCTTCCGAGAAGGTCGGGGTTGGCGAAGCTGACCAGCGAGAAGTACTCGGAGAGGTCGTTCTGGATGGGGGTTCCGGACAGAATCACCCTCCGGCTCACGTTAAGGTTGTTGAGGGCGCTAAATGTCTGGCTATCCCCGTTCTTCAGGCGGTGACCCTCGTCGCAGAGCATCAAACCGATTTTGGTGTGCTTGAGCTCCTCGACGTTGAGACGCAGGGTTTCGTAGGACACGATGATGACGGGCCGGGTAACGGACCTGCCGCTGGAAATGGCCCACTGGCGCAGCTGTCTGGTCAGCTCCTCCTTGGAGGCCTTGCCGTCGATGGCGAAAGGGCTGATGGCGTCGGGACCCAGCCACTTGACCAACTCGTTGGCCCAGTTGCGGACCAAGCTGGAGGGGCAGACGACGATTGCCTTTTCGAGTGTGGGTTTGCCGGCTTCGGGGGATTGTTTCAGCAGGGTCCAGAGGAGGGTGATGCATTGCAAGGTCTTTCCGAGACCCATCTCGTCGGCCATGATGCAGCCGTTGGCTCTTTCGTCGACCATGCCGGTGACACATCTGTACATGAACTTGACGCCTTCGATCTGATGGGGCCGAAGCACGGCTGCGAGACGCGGATCGATGACGACAGGCACCTTGGGGTGTTCACCCTCGACTTTCTTCTTGATACCGAGGATTTCGGCCAAGCTCTTGTGGACGATGGGGCCGTCAATCTTGGTGTCCGTGTCGGCAGCCTTCTCCTTCTCCTTCTCCTTGGGCAATCCGTCCAGGGGCTTGGCGTGAGGCTTGTCGTCGATGGTGGGGTCGTACAAGACTATGGCAAACTCGCCACTGGGATCGTGTAGAGGTTTAGCAATAAAGACAGCACCTTGGCGGAGCCCCAAGGTCGGAGGAGGGCGGTTGGGATTGTAGGAGGTGCTGTTTTTATTGAGAAGGGGGACAGCAAAAGCCTTGCGGAAGATGGTGGACTTGTCCTTGGCGTGGAAAACGGGGAAACGGTTCGCATCTCGGTTGGCGAGGGCGAGGCGGTCGGCATTCGTGTATGGTTTGTCGTCGTCTTGGGCCCCATCGGCGCCCTTGTAATCGACCTTTCTACGTTTGCGAGACGGCCGGTTGACTGCTGGACTGGACTGAGCAGCACCGGGACACCTGAAAGGCTTGAAAAGCTTATCCCGGGATTCGGGGGTAGGCACCCATCGCTTGCCAGGAGGGTTCTCCTTGCTTGCAGCGTTGGGAGTTGAGACAGCCTGGGGGGAAGACCTGGAATGAAGAGACAACGTCAGTGGCGGGAGAGGAGAGGGCATAACGAACGAGTAGGAGATGTGGGCGGAACGATTGGAGGGGACACAAACATTTCCGTACCCCTCTGAGGAAGTCTCTTGAAGCGAGTATTGCCGTCGATGATTTCCGTCGTGTGGACGGGCAAATAACCCCGAGCCTGGAGGTGGGGAGGGTGAGAGAGAGGACGAGGAGCGGAGAGTAAGAGAGGGGAAGGCAAGGTAGAGGAGAGGACGCCGACGGGAAGTACAAACTACAGGACGTAATGGTCTTGCTCTGGTGCTGTTGTTGATTGGGAGCGAAGGCGCGACCGACCCGCGTCACCACCAATACACGCTCTCACATGACTACGTCTGTACGTACCAATACACCAGGCACCAGCCTCGAACCCCATTCTCAAGGTACCTTTTTCCTCTACGGCTCTCCAGGTACCCAGTACCTACTACTTGCAGTGAGCGACAAAAGATTCTTACCCGGCCAGAAGTATCTCATCACTGCATTACGCTTCCACGACACCTTCAGGCCGGGTATATCCTTTTTTTCCCACTGTACATGGAACATCCAAAATCCTGATACCGACTGTCGGCCTGTCGGCCATCACTTTTACGGATCCTCACCGCCGTCCGCATCCGAACCCACATTCGCACCCACATCGCTCACTGACACCAACGGATCGATCAACAAAACCAAGCCCATCTTTCGCAAAAGCCCTGGATTGAACCGTTACCGAGCCCGAGCATGTCCACGACTACCTTTCCTCCTCCTGCTCCTCCTTCACCACCACCACCACCACCAACCAAGGACCATCCGCTCGTCCCCCCCTCCCCCCCAACCATCTGGATCGCCGACAACTGGCCTTCCATCATCGGCTGTACGGTCCTGGCCCACGTCGGCCACTACCGCTACCTGACAACCCGCCGCAAGCCAAGCCCCAACCCGATCCAGAATGCGCGCTTTTGGGCCATAGCCGGCGGTGGATGGATGGTCGCTTACCTCTCCGTCATCACCGCAGTCGCCGTCTCTCGAGCCAAAGTCAACCACTACCGTGATCCGGAGACCCGGGGTCTTTACTCTTCTTGATCTTGTCTTTTTCATTTTTAGCCCTTTTTTTTTTTTTTTTTTTTTTTTTTTTTTTTTTTTCTTTTTTTTCGCTCCCCTTCTTCCCTCTTCACTCCATCATCCCGGCTACCCACCCCTTAAAAAATGTCCGCCGACTTCTGGGCCGGCTACGTGAGCGGCGCCGTCGGCATCCTCATCGGAAACCCGCTCGACCTGATCAAGGTCCGACTCCAGGCCCGAGACACCGCCCTCGCCGGCCAGACCCCCGCAGCCTACGCCCGGCAGTTCGGCTCCGCCGCCTCCCTCGTCACCGGCACCGCCGCCCCGATTTTTGGGTATGGCGCCCTCAACGCCCTCCTCTTCGTCTCCTACAACCGCACCGAGGCCGCCCTCCATTCCGCCTTCTCCGCCGGCGGCGGCGCAGCAGCACACTCCTCTTCCTCCCACCCCAGCCTCTGGTCCACCTGGATCGCCGGCGCCGTCGGCGGCCTCGCCACCTGGGTCGTCAGCACGCCCACCGAGCTCGTCAAGTGCCGCGCCCAGGTCTCCTCGCCGCGCCAGTCCAGCTGGTCCATCGCCAAGCAGGTGTACCGCGGGGAAGGCGTCCGGGGGCTCTACTTCGGCGGCGTGGTCACCGCCCTGCGCGACAGCATCGGCTACGGCTTCTACTTTTGGTCGTACGAGCTCGCGTCCCGCTGGATCGAGGCCCGGTCGGGTCCGCTGGCAGGGGGTGACGACGGCGACGGCCACGGCGCCGGCGTGCCTTTCCGGCAGGAGGCGGCCAAGGTTCTCCTTTGCGGTGGACTGGCTGGGATCGTGACGTGGGCGAGCGTTTTCCCTCTCGACGTCGTGAAGACCCGTGTCCAGACGCAGGTGTTCGAGGGCGGTAGTGGCACTCCCGCGTCGTCGTCGTCTCCTCTGCTGAGTCGGGGCGGAGGTGGCAATGCCGGGCTCTCCTCCGGGGGGGGGAGGCTCGGTGCCGTCGAAATGGCCCGGGCCGCGTACCGTGAGGGAGGCATGTCGGTGTTCTTTCGAGGCCTGACGGTCTGTAGTGTTCGTGCTTTCATCGTCAACGCCGTGCAATGGGCCGTTTACGAGTGGATCATGGCAGAGATGGGCCATGGTAGGAAGCGAAAGGCATCAATAGAGTCCGGGTAGCTCCGAAGTGAACAGAAGAAGAAGAAAACACGCATCAAGTCCCTGACGACGATATCGTCATGTTCGGAGCATTTTCAATCCCTCGGCGACATAAATATCGGAATATTCCTTGTCCTCTTATCGTTCCTGTGGCCTGCCTAAGTGAGGTATGTATGACCATTCCTTCCCCATGTACGGCAAATGTGCCCGATTAAGTCTCCGGCATCGCGAAACATCTCGGTCCATGTCCAAATGCTTCGCTCCTGGAAATCCTCTGGGCACCATTCCGACACCGTTTGCTTATACGAGGGGCATCCTTTCATCCCAACTATAAAATCCCCTGCGCGCCACCCTTTTGTTCGAACTTCGACTCAAGGAACAACCTCAGCAGAAGAAGAAACACAACGTCCACCACAACTCCTGTCCCTCCCGACCAGCTATCATCTCTCGAAAGCCATGGCTATCACCTGTCAAGCCCCAGCTACCAAGTCTCTCTCGGAGCATAACCGCGAGTATTACCAGTACGTGGAGTGGAACACACCGGCCATGCATATTATGCCAGCACGAGGTCTCTTTCTCTCTCGCTCCGACTCGCACTCGACTAACATGGTGGTACGTACGTGCACAGCACGAATGCGGATATGCTCTTCGAGCAAGACTGGGTCAAGGTGCTCGCAGACCAGCAAACGCGGTTCCTGCGCTCGCAGGCCGAGTCTCTGGGCCTGAAACCCGCAGTGGCAGGCAAGGAGGTCAAACTCCTCGACTACGCGTGCGGTAGCGGAGTTGCATCTTGGGTACGCAACGCCTCCTCCTCAAGATTTGATCGTCTTCCCTTTGCTTCGCATCGAACAGACAACTCAACTCACCACAAAACAAAACAAAACAAAACAAAACACCAGGCCCTCCTCCCCTACGTCACAAAGATCCGCGGCGTCGACGTCGCCCCCGCCGTGGTATCCCTCTACAACCGCGCCGCCGCCGCCCAGACCCTCACGGCAGACCAAGCCCACGCCATAGAAGGGGACCTCTCCGCCGCAGCCGCACCCGCCGACTCGGCCCTCTCGTCGCCCGACATGTACGGCTTTGACATCGCCATCGTCTCCATGGCGCTCCACCACATGGACGACCCGCAGGCCATTCTCACGGCGCTGGCGTCCCGCCTGCGCAAGGGCGGGCTCCTCATCGTGGTGGAGGGCACGGAGAACAGACCGGCTGTCGACAAGATGGAGGCGGCTGGGTTGGATGGCCCAGCCCTGCGGCAGATGCTGAATGTGGAGGCGTTTGCGGAGGAGACGATGCGGGACTGGCTCCGGGCTGCGGGGTGTAGGTGTATGTGTACGGGCGAAGACGGGGAGGGGTTCGTGTATGTTGTCCATGATGAGATTAGCCCTGTTCCTGAGTCGGCTTGCAAAGTTCCGGGTGGGCTGGACCGGCAGCTGCTGATTGCTGCGTCGGTCAAGGCGTGAAGAAGAGGGGGGGAGGGACGAGGCTGGGGAAGTCATGCAGTCTCTTCTACAGTGGCTTGTACAATCTAGGTATGAATGAGCATATGATCTTCATGTCCGCGGCCGAGGCTAAGATCTGCAGCGTCGATCATGCCGTGGCGTTTCATCTCCCCCTCCTCCAGTGTAACGCAATGTCGCTTCTGTCGCTTCTGTCGCTTCTCCCCCAGATTAGGAGCCGGAGCCCACCACCGTCTTTCTAACCTCCTACCTACAACGTAACCTTCTCTGCTAGATCTCTCCCCTTCATATGGTCGCTTTGGCTGACTCGACTAGTTGCAGACGTCAGTTGTCATATAGAACCGCCCAATTGAAACATTATACATCATATCATATTACTGTCGAAGCCCTCAGTCCGCTCCGCTCATATTGTCTGTTCTAATTAAGCGCGTCTCTTTCAACACACGAGACTCACAAGCCGTAGCTAACTGTAGGGATAGTCTTCCATAATATAATACTTTTCCGTCTTTGACGAAAGAGAAGAAAAGCCCGCTCCGAGTGTGCCCTTAACCCATAATGTTGTAGTAGCCTTCAGGCTTCCCCCTTGAACGCCGTTTCCAGATGCGCTCCCATCCAGGCCATCCTTGCGCCCAACCCATAAAAAGATGCAAGAGACAATGTCCGTAGAATTTCAACGCTCAAAGTCCTCCCAATTCCATTCCTTTCCTTTCCTTTCGTTTCCTCTCCTTTTTTTTTGTTGTTAAAAAAAGGGGGGCCCGTGTCACGGGGAGAAGAACAGTTCGTCCGACCGCGTAGTCAACCGTCTCTGTATCCGCGCAGGACCCCGCTGCGGGCTCGCGACCTCGCTAAGCGGCGATATCACCGCGTCGGCATCGCCCTGAAAGTTCGCAAAGCCCCGTCCCGCCCCCTCCGCCTCCTCCACCTCCTCCTCCTCTTCCTGCTGCGCGACGGCCCAGCCCACAGACCTCGCAGTCGGTCGCCGGACGGGCGTCGTCGTCGTCGGCATGGGCGTAAACCCGCTCATGGCCGCCGCTACGGCCGACGGCATCACCGCGTCCAGCGACCGCCGCCCCGTGTTCGCGTTCGGCGCGCGCGGGAGCACCTCCCGTTCGCCCTGGTACCACCACTGGTTCTCGAACCCGTTGTCCACCGTCATCATCGCCGTCGAGAGGGCCTCCAGCTCTGTCCTGGTTCCTGCGTCGCTGTCCCCTCCCGCGTTTTCGTCGTCGTCGTCGGATGCTGTTGCTGTTACTGTTGTTGTTGCTGCTGCTGCTGCTGCTGCTGCTGCTGCTGGGAGGACGGTGGGTTCGGCGGGGAAGACGTCCCTGTCGACCCGCGACCCTCCGGGGAGGGCGGAGCAGCCCAGGGGTTCCGGCTCGGCGTCCCACGGAGTGACGTGGGACGGGCCAAGGGCTGGCGATGTGGGTGCGGAGCGGGTTTCGGGTCGTACGGGTCGTCCAGACTGAAGAGGGGCGGCAAACCAAGCCGAGGGTTGCATCGGCGCCCGGGCTCTTACTTGGGAGGTCGGCATTCGGGGGTAGTGAGGGAGAGGGTGAGGGAGAGGGTGAGGGTGAGGGTGAGGGTGAGGGTGAGGGAGAGGGTGATGATGAGGGAGAGACTGCGATGGAGGTTGCATGTGAGGTTGAAGTGGAGGTCGAGGCCGTGAGTGCGCTTGTGGGTGTGGTATTGGGTATGCCAGGGAGTGCAGTTGCGCCTGCGGTACGAAGAGCGTCTCGGTCCCTGGTGCTTGTAGTCGCCGTACTTGGCCGTCTCGCCGGGGTTCGGCGCTGGGAAGATGATGCGTCGAGGGCACGAGGACCCGACGGGTGTCGTTTCTGTCCTGGTCGCGCCAATTGCGGCTCTTGTAGGTGACTGCGTGCTTCTTGCCATGCCGCCTCGGGGAATAGGAAATGCCAAACTCGACGTGGAAATAAACATGTGGTCCCGATTTGACATGATCGGATGCGGAGGGGTCTGAGGCCATCTCACCCGGCATGGTCGGAGTGTGTGCGCGTGTGTGAGTGTGTGAGTGTGCGTGTGTATGTCGTCGCAACGCAAGAACGGTGACGGGAGAAGACGACGGTGATGGTGGGCCTTGAGCCTTCCCCAGAAACGAAATCACACGATCAAGGAGGGGAGGAGAAGCGTGAAGTATGATGTGGACAGAGTAGGCAAAAAGGAGGTAGTCGCGCCAAGAGTCCTTAGCCGAAACTACAAACTACGAGTCGCCCCAAGGACGGAGACAGAACCCAGGGAACTCAGGGAACCCAGGCCCGTTATCGTGACTCGTGAGCAAGACGGCAAAAAGAATGTGGTTGAAGGCGGGACTGTGGGAGTGGGGTATAAGTGGCAATTTAAGGAGAGAAGAGGAAAAGACAGGAGGACCCTTGATCTACCTCATGGATAGAGTGCCCGAATTGGGCCTTTTGCGACAGCTTGAGGGAATGCAATCGAATAATGCCAGAACGATGTTGTTGTTCCGGTTAAGGGGTTCAATCCCAAGGCCAAAGGCGGATGGGGATGGGACGGGGGGCTTAGTTTCGTCGAGGAAAAGTCCCATCGAACCGGGGACTCCGCAATTCCTAATAGGAAACTAAAACTTTCTGCGGACCAATCAGTTCTTGGCATTGTCTCGTCAGAAGACCCCCTGGATCCAAGACCACTCCGCGCATGTCCGATCAAAGGTACAAAGTACTATATTTACCTACCAGTACTGACCTTATTCAGCTAGAATTCAGCAGGACACGGTCATACGAAGGACAGCCACCGCCTGCAATCTGACACCGCTCAGCCCAGATCTGCTTCGCTTTGTCTTTAATGTCAGCTCCAGTGCTGAGATCCACCACTACGGGGTACCAGGGATAGGTACCATAATTAAGTCACCTTTCATCGTGCAGAAACGTCACTCACCAACTTTCACCAGAGGAGACTCAATGATCGAGTACAGTACCATGACATATAGGAGTGAAGAGGAGTATGTATATCCGTACGTTGTATGTCCGGATACAGTTCCTGAGCCAAGGTTGGGGAGGAACTTTGGGATGTTCTGTGCCTCATTGCATAAGGTAGAGGCGAGAGATGTGACCCGGCGGCAATTTTTTGGGGCGAAGGTCAGCACTTTAACTACCTTATCTCAGGGAACTTTGTGACCACAAGGGTTCAGCAAGGCCCAAGTGGCGGGGGGTGAGCTGATGTCGCCCCCGCCACAGTGGCTCGTGCTTAATTACTTACCAGCTTGGCGGCTCAGGTAGTACCTAGCTAAGTCCGGATTCGGATAGGTATAACTTCCATGAGAGCTATTCCTAGGTCCAGGTATCTTCCTTCTTTAAGGCCCTTCGCGACTCACCTCGGCCAAATCCCTTACCTTACCTTACCTACTTGCAATACTTCATACACATTCAGTAAGTATCCATGCCATTCACTGTCTCGGTGTATAACCGTTCACCATGTTTATTTGGTTTTTACCTTAGTACTGCGTGGGAAGCCAACGGTCTGCCATTGCAATGGACTCCGGTGCGGTTGATTTTGACGGTTGTGTCGACTCGAGCAATCTGTTCGATGGCCGACCATAATCAATCGCATCCGTTCACGTCGGTGGACTGGAGAGAATGCCGACATTGCCCAGGATACAATCTCTTGACCCGCGGCAAGGCAGATCAGGGGCATGCCGCAGGTCCGCAGCCTCTCAGGCCACGCTACCTCTTTGTTGGTGGGCGATATTCAACCGTCCCCAAGCCGTCAACAAGGAGCAGGCCGCACCTATCTGAGCTGGCCCTAAAACCTGAAAGAATGAGATGAGAAACGAGTAGGGGCTGGCTTTTGCTGAACCCCTGGATGATCTGACCTACCGAATCGGGCCCACGCGACTCCTAAGGAGTGCTGCGCCACCATCACGCTGGGCTTCCCCCTTTTCCTTCGTCCCATATGAACATAACTCAACACGCAGTCGGGACTGCTGTCTACCACCCCCCTCCTCGAGCTTCTTCAGTAATCTCTTGACACCTTGTGTAAGCCACAGTCTGACACCAATTCCGGCTTAACCCGTTCTATCTCGGGCTATACTCATATTGAGGTTGTTGACAGTGCGCTTTGATCTTGATTTCTATTTTTGGCCCTGTCGGCTTGGCAAGGGGCTGTGCGAGGAGAGACGTACGGGCTTCCGTATATAAGACAGACACCGATGGCTGCGCCCTGGTTCGGGGCATAGAACCACCAGCTCCCCGGGACTGGTGCCATTGTCATAAGGGTCAGCGGTTTTGCCTAGAACAGGAGGAAAAGGACAAATCTGCGTTTGCTGGGAAGCTTGGTATTGTACCGTATTCACCATTACCCATTGTTGCAAGTACTAATACCGTGCTGCGTGTGTGTACCTTAGTGGGTGTTACAACTAAAGAGAGATTCATATACAGACGACCAGGGTCGGTTCTGACCTTCCCCATACATGGGAAGTCATTCCTGTCCTTTCCGTCATGGCACGATGGCACGATGGCGCACGCCTCAACGAGCAAAACCCCCCGGGTCCATCAGTCATCTACCAACTCCAGCCCTTTCCAATCCTTTCCCGAAGAATTCCATACGTTAATCCAGCCGATAAAAGACCAAAATCTTTTGGCCCCGCCATTATAACCATCATCTCACAAAATCCCCGGGTTCCTTCCAACGCCGTACCCCTCGGTGATCGGAACATATAAAAAAAAACAAATTTACTACTAGTACAAGGGTAGAGTAGACAGCCAAAGGAACGTGCCGCTCAATCAACCTCCCAGCTCCGCCCCGTCCCGCCGTTGATGCGCGACCTCCCAACCCGGTCCACGTCGTGATACTCGTGGCCGTCGTCCCAGTCACTCAGCTCGTCGTCCGAGTAATCCCAATGCACCGGGATCTCCTCGCCGCCGTCGCCGTACCCGAAGACCATCCCGCGCCACTCCCCCGCTGCGATGCGCGCCGCCACGCGCAGCATCAGGTTGATGAGGTGACTCGGCGGGCTCAGCAAGATCTCGCACGTCTTGGCCACGATGGCCATGGGGAGCTGCCGCACCAGGTCCAGCCGTCCGCCGCGCGTCTGACGCTTCCTGCGGTGCGACGAGGAGGTCGGCGAGAAGAGGTTGGCCGCGGGCGGCAACGGCGACAGGGCCCTGCTCACGGAAATGCTGCTCGCCGTCGCCCTGTGCCGGAGGTGAGGACGCCGGACCGCGACCGTCGCGGTCGACACGGCTTCGTCCTCCGACGCTGGGCATTTCGGCCCATGGTGGTCCCGGCGGTCCCGGTGGTCCCCCGTGTCTTCTGGCGCTACGTCTGGTGCTGTCGCGGCGCTTTCCTGCGAGCTCTCGTCCGATCCGCGTGACGCCATGTCCCAGATACCCTTGGCGTCGGGCGTGGCTGTCAAATCAGATATATCCCGGTAGTTGGACATGCCCTTGGAAATCGGGATGTTGTCGTGCGGATACGGGAACGTCGACGGCGTGACAGGCTGCGACATGGGCGGGGAATCCGGTAGAGGAGGCATGGCTGCTGAGTGCCACGAAGTGACGCTGTGGAACGAGTCCGACGATCCGGCCGGGGACACCGGTGCTTGGACATCTTCTTCGGAAGCCGAAGTAGGAGGTGGGGGATGCGGTTGTTTCGAAACTGCCGACTTGGATGGAGGTGATGTGACGATGGTCAACTGGGGAGGAACCGTTAGGGGGCGCCCACCCCGGAAGCCACGGAGCTTTTTCCGCCGCCCACCCACGATGCCGCTTCCTTCGAGAACGTCAGGGTTCACCTCATGGTCGTTCTGCTCGACGGTTTCGATACCATCATCAGCGTCGTGGCTTGAGATCTGCTCACCAACAGCAACCGTCGGCGTGGCCTTTGATGATTCCGTGGTGGATATGGTGGCGGAACATGTATCCAAGCTCGTTATTGTGCCAGCTGCCGATTTTTTCTCGTACGAGCGGATGACGTTGTAGATATCAGGCTTTGTCGGCTGTTTCTTGAGGAGTGATTTGGGTGCGGTACCCGACTCTTGCGTAGGCCGCTCCTCTTCAAGGCCGACTGATAGTTTGTCGCTGCCGACAAACTCCACCACAGGAGCAGCACTAACAGTAGGGTCTATCCATGGAGCTGGCGCCGTTTTGGCCACCACCGGCTCTGCCGTGTCGCTACGGCTCTCGGTTGGGGACGACCTGCGTGTGTCGTCGAGAAAGCATGTTGATGTTACGGGGACTGCGGTTTCAGTCACGGCGCTCCTCTTCTCCTCCATGTCCGGTAATATCCTGGTCAATTCGGATGCTGCGCTTGCGTCACCAACATCGCTTTTCGCAGTCTTAGTGGTTTCAACTTCCGCCTTTGATGCAGAAGTACTTGCATTCAAGACTTCCATGGCGAATACGATCGCCTCGACCCCGACTGGTCTGCCGCTCACTGCTAAGCATTCATGTGCGTTGGCGGGGCCTTCCGTGTCTCCTCTCTCCCCTTCTCGTTGTTCGGCTGCGTGGGTAGTCGTCTGGTCGTCCCCAGGCACTGGCACTGGCACTGGTTTGCCATTGGTTTCTTCAGACTCGACGATTCGCTGTACATATTCCTTTTCTAGTGTGGTCTGTCGCTCTGCCAATGGTAATGTTTCCTCCTGTTCCCTGAGCTGGGACAAAGAGGATGATTCCCTCAGAGATCTATATGTTGTGGAGGGAGACGGCGATGCCTCGGGAAGCGGAACGGGCAAGGGAGGCAGTGATCGGCGGACGGGAGTCCACGGTCGTTTTTTTACGGGGAGATTCGGCCTCTCGGGAAGCGGGACGGAGAAGGGTCGTTTGAAAGGACACGCCGTCTTCTCGAACTGCAAGATCCGGTCCAAGACGCGGCGCAGGGCCTGGGCAAGGTCGCATTCATCCGGTTCGCCAACGGGGACCTCAATTCTCCAGTAATTGGGGCGGCGAATTTGTAGAATGAACTTGCTCGACTCTTCATCTATGCACCAGCATTGGCTTCTGGGAAGGATGGGTTGCAGAGCGGAACCGCAGTTGAGGAAGGCGACAGACCCGGGGGCGCGGTAGATTCGGAAGGGACCTAAAATAAAGACATCACGTTAGCGTCAGCCACAGGTAGACGGTGCGACAATGCGCGACGAAAGGGAGAAGGGGCCGACAACTGACCAACCGCAATCGTCCTTTCAAGCTGTGATGACCAGTCCAGAGTACCCGGCTCCTCTTCGGCAGGGGCACGCCCGGGACTCCTCGCCCTTCCGCGGCCCGACGCGGTAAATGCGATGATCTTGACGTTTGGGTGGTTGTAGAGCGTCTCAACGAGACCGGCGGCCGACTGCGATGACGAAGAGGACGATGCGCTGGAAAGAAAGGCCTGCGGCGCAGTCATCACCCGACGAGGGGCAGGGAATGAGGATCCCGAACGATCCATGGAGGTTGCGCCGACGGTCGCGTCGGGGAAAACGTCGTGCAGAAAGCAGGGAGATGGCTCGAATATCTAGACAACGAATTCGTTCATGTCGGACGTGGTAATGCGGGCATGATCCGAAGGACCGTCCGAGCACGAAAGGTAGGCCGGTGCAGAGCCTGTTTCGAGGCAGATAGATGGTGGATGAATCGGTTAGGATTGGGATGTCCCCCTCTCGTGCCGCTTCGCACTTCCGATGTGTGACGTCCCGTTCCGGAAAGTGCAGGGGTTCGTTAGAAGTTCAAGAAGCAGTACAAATCGATTATGTAGGTCTCACTTCCATTAGGGGAGACAAAACCAGTCCTTGTTTCGGTACTCGAGGAGAGTCGGCGGCGATGGCAGAAGCAACAAGAAGAGGAGAAAGTGAAAAGAACTCGGAAGTGTCGCACGTCAAAATAGCACTTGTATGATTAACTTGATGGAGCAGAAATCTCGTGTGTGTGTATTATATCCAGTTATATCTGTGTGAGTCTCTTATACCCTTAATTTAGGTGGTGAAGACTCTATTATAGGTACTATATTATTTAGATCCTATCCGGTCTTTTCTAGTATCCTCCTTTATTATATCCGGATACCTAAGGTCCCTAAGATCTGAAGCCCTTAGTTAGGTATAGATCTCCTAGGGACTATATCGTGGTCCGTGCGCCTATATAATACACCCCCGTAGTTAAGGTGGGTCTTCCTAGGTTAACTAACTAATTAAAGGCTTCGGTTTAAACTAAAAGCTCTTAATTCTTTTTATCGTAAAATTAATAGTTAAGGGAGAAACGCCTTTATAAAAAGGATCTAAATCCGCCTTATTCAACCGTTTAATTTAAGTCTATCCTAATTAGTTCCTTAATCCTAATTAGCCGGATTTACTTAATCGGATCTATATCTATCGGATCTACTACGCCCCTAAGGGTCTTTATCCCCTCGAACCTAGTTAAATGGGTAGCCTCTTTTACAGAAAACAGGCGAATCCAACTAGCCTTCGAGGGCCAGGTTCAGCAGCTAACCCCCCTAAATATAGGGGTTCTATAAGCCTTACCGGTTTCCCCTATCCTTTTCCTGATTTATATTAGGAAGGTTATAGCGGGACCGGATTTCTAGGGTCTTCAGCTATCCTATATCGACGATTTTCAGCTATCTATAGTGTCTACGTCGACTAGGAAAAACTGTAAAACCCTAGAAAAAGCCGTAGCCTCCCTTTTCGGCGCAGTAAAAGTTAACCAAGTCCTTTTCGACCCTAAAAAACCAGAGCTTATTTACTTCCATCGAAGACGCTCTAAAAAAGACACTCCAGTTAGTATAGGGGGGCACCTACTTAAACCCGCGCTAGGTGCTATTAGGTAGCTAGGGGTCTAGTTTGATCCTAAACTATCCTTTAAACCCTATATCGAAAAACGCCTAAACTCATCTTTAGGGGCCCTAAATAGACTATATAGGCTAGCTAGCTCGTAGAGGGGCCTTTCCTTTAAGGCCCTATCGCAGTTATATATAGCATATATAGCTTCCTTAGCTGATTTCGGCTCGTAGTTCTAGTAGGACCCTAAATCACCGAAAAACACCTAGTAGACCGCCTAGAACGCCTACAGTACGGCGCTTTAGTCAGGGCCCTATAGGATTTTAGGGGGGCCCCCTTATAGCCTTTAGAACTCGAAGCAGCGGTTCCCCTAGTAGCGGTTCGGTTAACTAGGTCTAATAGGCTTTATGCCTTTAGGACCTTAAAATTCCTACCGAACCACCCTATTAAATACTAGCTCCTCGCTAGCGTTTAAAGGTATCTAGGAGACGAAAACCAGGAAAACCTCGCCCTTCTTTAGAACCTATAGCCTACTATATAGCTATATAGGCTAGGCCTAGAAATAGTGGCTTTAGCAGGTTAGTCTTAGGATATCGAGGGTCCTTTGGCTAGGTGGGAGGCCCCCTGGGCTTTAGAACCTATAGCGGATCTAAGACCCTTTTTCTCTCTTAAAGACCGGCCTAAAGTAACTATAGACCCTAGCCTTAGCCCCGAAACCCTCGATCAGAAAATGTTAAATAGGTAGTCGCAAAGAGTGAAAAGGTAGGGTCAAGTAAGGAACCAGGTGTGGCCACGATAGAATTATAGTGGGGTTAGAACGTGGGTGTAGCTAAAGAATCAGATTAATCGCTAGCCTCCCTCTTCTAAGGGGAGGCTCCCTTACTCCTTAAGGCTACGCTCTGCTCCTCGAGGACTACTTATTTACTTCCTCGAGGGCTACTTTATTTACTTCGAGGGACTATTCTATTTACTATATAATAACTTACTTTATTTATGCCTTAAGGGGTCTTAGACTAGGTATATCTAGATCCCTATGGGTTTATACTAGGGATCTATTATGACCACTACTATAGGTACCTAATATAGCGACCTCCCCCGGATACTCCTGTCCTTAGGAGCGCCCGATCCGTGCTAGCCTCTCGGCTCCTCCGAAAACCTAGTCTCCGAGTCTATCTCTAAATTCCCCGATACCCCGAACCAGAGCCTTCTATAACAGGACCCTAACGGGTCCCCGCCGGGTTCCTATATAAAGCCTTCCTCGGCTATAGCCCTGACCCGGGTATATTTCGTTGACTAAACTACTAAAGCTAATATCCCCGTTAGGACCCTAATAGGTTCTAGGGTAATCCCCTCCCGGGTTTTCGGATCTGCCCCTTTATCCGCCTAGGTTATCCCTTTAATCTATCTATAAAGACTCCTGACGCCAGTGTTATATAGGGCTCTAATAGTGCTCCTTCTGCGAATTCGTAGCTTCCTTCTTTATACTAAAAATGTGTGCTATATAACTGCCTTTTTTTTTAGGGATATCTCGTAACCTGCCGTTATTCCCTCTTCCTATTCTTTTCTTCCTCTTCTGTACTTAATTTTTAATCGTATTACGCCTATAAGTCCTTACCTGATCCACGATATCGTGTACTAACGACTTATAGTCTTAATTAAATAACCCACTACTATATTATAAGTGCTTCTAAGCCTATCTCTAGTCTATAGTGCTGGCTAACCACGCGATATAGTGCAGTTATTATGTCTTCCTAGGAAGATAATAATAATAATAAGCGCGTCGCTACTCCCGCGAGTATAATACGGTCCTCTAAGAGAATTAAGATCGTGGTTATAGCGTCGACCTTATAATCCGCTAGGCCGTCTACCACGTAGCCAGCTACGCTAGAGCCTCCTGCCTTAACTACGGCTACGTCGTCGTCGATTACTATACCGTCGGTCGCTCCCCGCTAGAAGGTGGTGGATATCGGTATAGACGGGGATCTAAGGGCCCCCTATATACGTTATACGGGTAAGTTAGTGACGATTAACTTTAAGGAAAAGGCGTATACTATTAAGGCTAAGACGTGCTATCACGCCGATAACGGTCAGTGTATAAATAAATACCACTACTGCTCTAAGCATAACAGCCTCAAATACCGCGTAGCAAGTTATATATCTTTAACACTATCCCTATAGCCCCTCCCTTCGTAGACTACTCCGTGGGCCCTATTAATCTAATACGTGTGATAGCTCCCTATTGCCGGTAAGAACGCTGCCGAGTAGCTGTAAAAGGTTTTAGTTATTACTATTGAGAAAGGTGGCCTAAATAAGAGTCATCGCGTGAGTATTACTATATCCCTTCGTTAACCCTATATAGTACCTTTACTAATCCTCTATAGTACTAGGCTATAGTAGTTCGATACTAGGTTATCCTTAAGGAGGCTCTGGGTTAAGTAACGCTAAAGGCTAACCGGTTATCTACCGAGGAAGCTATAGCTGCTCGGCGTTAGGCTAAGGAAGTTACCGACGCCCGCTAAAAAGCAGCGGAAGATATCCATAAAAGGCTTAATAGTATAGAGTTAATCATTAAGTAATTCGTCGGGCTATAGTAGTAGCGTTTTACCGTTAAGCAGAAACGCCTTAATATTAAATAATAACGCCTTATATTACACGAGCGTGACCTTACGGCCTAGGAGCGGATAGCTACTGCTTTCGAGTAGATAGTTGCTCTTAACCTGGCTTAGGCTTAGGCCTAGGAAGACCTGCCTATACCCTTAGGGCCTACCTTAGCCCCCGCGGGAGTTAGCTTTATAGGAAACGATATATTTAGTGATAGTGGCTCTGCGTAATCTTAAGGCTCGCTATCGGGGGTTACGATACCGTAAGGTCCGCAGGGCCCGCCGGACCCTTACAAAATACCCGACGATAATAATATAGTGCCGGCTTTATTAGTGAAGAAGGGTAAGGGGAAGAAGGCTCTAACGCCCTTGACTCCTTTATTAGGGAAGAAGAAGAAGAAGTAGTAGAAGGCGAAGACGCCGCTATCTTTTTATCCTTTAACGCTATCCGCGGGTGGTAGGTAAGAGGGTTTAACGGTTACTACCGTGGGGCAGAGCCAGGTATATATAGAGGATAACAACGGTGAGGTGGCTAGGCGGGAGCCTACCCCTCTAGATAATAAGTTAGTGGAGTTTAAGGACGCTCTTTTAGGGGCGTAATAGGATAGTATATATAGAGGAAACGGGTTTTTTTCCAGGTTTTTTACTAGCCTTCGGGTTAGGTTTTTCCTTTTCTTTTTAACTAGCTTCAGGGTATTCCTATTATAACCCTAACGGTCCTAACTATAATATAGTGTGATATATTATCTTAATTATAATATTCGTAAGGGGATAGGTAAGGCGGAAAGAGTAGGGATTATGCCTCGGTCAGTATATTCGCGGCCCCGATTTAACATGGTTAGATGTGTGAATATAGGCGTAAGGGGCCGTTAGCGTCTAATAAAGAAAAACAGAGATTAAGAGCAGAACTCTTAAAAGGAAGAAACAGAGGTCGAGAGCAGAGCGCTCTAAAGGGAGAAAATAGTAACCGAGGCGATAATGCCTATATAGTCCCTATCTGGATTAAAGGGGGGTCCCTGCCTAAGAATTCATCTCTATATCCTACTGAAGGGTCTTCTGCTAGGCCGATATAGCCGATGCGTGGGCCCCGCGTAGAACCTATATAGGTTAGAGTGAGGATAGACTTAGCTTATCTAACTACCCTACGTAGTTCTCTTAGGGATATAACCACGCCTAGCTCCGCGTAGGATAAGGGGTAGGTCTATGTGCTGTATTGCCAATTAACGTTAGGGTTAACGGCTATAAGCCACGGCCTCCCTAGGATAAATTTTACACCTATAAGGTTTATAACGTGGAACTCGGCGCGTTATACCCTCTTACGTCTCTAGTAGTTAGTAGCGACGATAATCCTATAGGTGGATCCTAGAGTTATCTTCGTTTATCCTTCTATAATCCAGGACACCGGAACCTGGGACCCCTCAGGAACCTAACTAGGTCCTAGGAGGGACTGATC